TATGACATAAATGAATATATATGTGTGTTCACACTTGTGTATAAATTTGAGGACAGGATTTTATTGCAATAGTAATTAATAGTGAAAGCAAATGCTAAATATTCAACAAATGTTAATGTTACATTATGCTTCTAGGTAGAAATGAAATTGGATCAATAGGAGGTGTCTGTTTTCACTCATTATTTATAGTTGCTCACTGCAGAATATTTTTAGTGAACTCTACTTTGACATTACATAAGTCTACATGAAAATAGAAAAGCAATTTTATCAAAAGAAAGTTGTAGTGGGAGAAAGAATTTGCAAATGCTGAGGTAGATGATGACATTGTTTCTTCAGCATTCATCTCTCAATTTTTAAAAAATAAATAAAATTTCTAATGATAAAAAGACTAAGAAAGAATTTATTGCCAAGATAACTCTTATAACTTTGCTAAACACCTTTAGGAATCAGTAAAGGTGCAAGCCTGTGTTGCCTGCCTTTATTCCAGCAACAAAAGCAAAATCCTTCCTAATGCTCTACCATCACTATACCTTTGCAACTGTATCATTAAGGCCTTTTTTTCTAAATCTCATACAAACCTGAAAATCTAATATTAGATGACTAGCTAAATCATGATATACCTCTGCCACTGAACACTTTGCAATTTGAGGTATATTAAGGATATTTACAAATTCTTTAGAATTATTCTTACTCAGAATTGAGGGTCTAATTTCCTTTACTTTGAATATGGTCTGGTCAAAGTGACTTGCTTTACCAAAAATATATGGTGCAAGTGGTATCTTCACACTTAGGGCTGGATGATAATGAGTCACTTGTTATTGGAGCTCAACTTCCATGTAATATAGCAAAAAATAACTAGACTTAATTTCACAAGTGGAATTGGTTTTGTAAAAACACTATAAATGCTGTAGTGTCCAACAGTGAATAAGGCATGGTATATAGGCACAATGGAATATTACTAACCTATTAAAATGTGTTGCTACTTGAGACAAATACATGAAATTGGAGGGGAATTTGCAAAATAAATCAGGAGAAAGATAAAAGTGGATGATTTCAATTATTTGAGAAACAAAGCAAAGCAATATAATTAAACCAAAACAAGCCCTTGGATCCAGACTTTAGATCTGAGGTGAGCAGAGGGGAAGGAAAAATAAGAAGAAAAGGTGGGGCGAGCCCAATGAGCTGTGGAAAGGTTTACTGGTACTTTGTTGGTAGGCATGGGGTGATAACAACATACATTTGAAGAGTTTGAAACTGCATTCCTAAAATATATTAAGTGTTGTAAATTAACATTACTTCAAAACAAGCAAATAAAGAAACAAAAAACCCAGCAAATACAATATCCTTTGGGACTAGAAAATAGTGAGTTCTTCATGTTGGCTATTATAGAAACTTGAAACTCCCCATGGTAAGGATTTAATGGATTGTTACGAAAGTTTTTGGAGGATGGAAAAAATTGAAACCCAGCAAGTTTATCAGCAAGTTTAGTGTCATCGTTGTCCAAGTTAATGTGAAAAATAGAAAGGGAAACTTTCCAGAAAAATACAGAAAATGTCTTGCAGCCACCAAGGACAACTACAATTATCTACAATGATTTTTTTTATTATTTTGTGAAACTTTCCTGAACCATAACCATAGATATTTCACCTTGGATCCCCATGGCTTAGTATTGTGCTCTTTGATACTTAGGGGGATATAATATACACCACATATGTTGTTCTATGACTGTGAGGCTTCTTTTTTTCACAACCAAAAAGGGACTCCAAGATGTGGATCTCTCAATTCCTTTATTTTTTATTCTCTGACTTCAAAAACTCACCAGATGCCACAGTTTTTATATCTTTTTAAATATCTTGTCTGCAAAATTCTAGCCCTGATCTTATTTTTTCTAAGCTAGTTTAACTACTTATTAAATATCCTGATAAACAGAAATTAAACCCTCCAAGCTGTCAAGGCTAGAAAATTTGGAGTGGCTCTGGACTCCTATCCATCAAGCTAATGCTTTTAATTCTATCTCCAAACGTTTGCCAATCACTTCTTCATCTCTATTGTCAATGTCTTATATAGATTAAAATGAGACTATTCTGTTTCCATTTCTCTCATATCACTTCATCATTTTCCTTCTTCTATACATTTACATAGCATTAAAGAAAAATTCTTAAAATTATTTTGTTGCTTAACAATGGGGTCTCCATAGGATAATATTGTTACAGGACAGGGAGAGAGGGACACCCCTTAAGCCCTAAACCTGCCTGCTCCAAGTGGGTTCTGCCATCCGCCACAACAAGACAAAACATATATAACTTTAATGAAAAGGGACTTTAATACAGTAAATATACAATATGGAACACAGAGAATATAACTTCTAAATCAAACACCTGAAGTTATCCATCCCCTCATGGGCAAAAGTCAACCCAAAGGGGTTGGTCCAAAGCAAGGCCTGAGAGCCTGCCACAAGCACCTTCTGGCCAGGACCCATGGAAAAGGATCAGAAATGGCCAGACAAATCTGGGAGGAAAAGAGTAAAATCAAAATCAATATAAACACTGCCATAGTCACCTCCCTACAGGTATCTCCACATCTGCCTTAACCAGTCCAGGGTCAGGAAACAAGCATGGTTTCTTTATCACATGCTTGCTGTTTCATGAGCTTCTCAGGGCTCCTTGTTCTCCATCCAGCTTTTTTCTCCTCTTTCCTCTACTGATTCCTTCTCTTCTCTCCGTTTTCTCTGCTCAGCTCCACCCTCCTCCTGGGTGGGTCAGGGAACTTGGAACTTCCCCTTTTCCTAGGGACCACCTTGTTACAATATCAAAAAGCTACTACTTAAGACCCACCCCAAAGTCCTCAACAAATGTAGCTGAAACTGTTTATTCTATATATAAAACACTTGTGAATTTTCTCTTCCTTCTCTTTCTACTTTGTAATATAAAAAATTTATAAAGCCGGCCCTCCCTGGTGGCGCAGCGGGTTAAAGTGCAGCACTGAGAAACTAAAGCCACTTCCGCATGAGTTCGATCCCCGCCTGCCCTGGAGGTGACCACATGGCACGGCAGATCTCTTCTGACCCCCCAGCTGCTTCCCTCAGCAGTGTACTTCATTGATCTGCCTGTTTTGCTCCCCACTGTGTCTCTGGTGAAGACTCTCACCACCTCTGAGCCTCTGGCCTGTACCCCAGTTCTGAATACACAAATAAATAAAAATCTTAAAAAAAATTATAAAGCCATGGTATATGTCCAATTTTTGAAAAAAAAAAAACAAAAAAACAGCAACAAAACAAAAAGCCAGGAGACTCTAAACTCACCTGAAAAACAAACTGTAGGCTGTACTTTACACTGTAGACACCTGGTGGCACCACTAGCAGCTTCTGAGCAATACCAGACACCTTAGAACATTGAGTGAACATACCAGAAATGTGTGCCTGTGCTTGTGATGATGTTATTTAAAGCGTGTTAAAAATGTTCCATAATGTCAATACCTTTCAAACAGGATTTGTTATTTATGTTTTTATTATTTCCTTCATTTGGGGCTGAATTATGTTCCCTCCAACTTCATATGTTTAAGTCCTAACCTCCCCACTCTACCCCCCCTCCTTTAAATTGTGACTAGAATTGAAGATAAAGAAGCAATTAAGTTAGAATGAAGTTGTTAAGTTGAGCCCAAATCCAATATGACTGGTGTCCTTATGGAAAAGATGGTAGGACACAGACAAGTACAGAGAAGGTAGACTATTAAGATACAGAGAGAAGATGACCATCTAAAAGACAAGGAGGCCATTAACACCTTAATTTCAAGCCTCTAGTCTCCAGAACTGTCAGAAAATAAATTTCTGTGGTTTAAGCCACTCAGTCTATGGCACTTTATTATCACAGCCCAAACAACCTAGTAGACCTTTTAAGTTTAAAAACACAAATACTAAGACTATATAATCTCCCTATAACACATTTACTCCTGGGGAAATGGATCTTGATTTATGGTTTAAATTATGTGAATTCTTAAGATATTTTGCCTCAAGTAAAATGCCACTTGTCCCAAATTTTAGTCATTTTCTCCCATTGAACATTAACTAAATACCTCATTTTTTTTTCCATTTTTTCATTTACTCTTGGTCAATAGAGTTTAATGGAGTAATTAAGAGTGGAGGTTGTGTTAGAGCCCAGACTGCCTGGTCTCACAGTCCATTTGATCAAGAACTGTGTGAATCGTGTAGTTACTTTAAAAAGGACTCCAAGAATTGTGTGAATCTGTGTAGTTACTTTAAAAAGGACTTGATTACATTTTTCTCAGATATCTGTACAACAGAAACAATCATAAGAAACCTACATTAGAGGTAGACAGACACTGAATGTGGACCTCATTATCTATACTCTCCTCTAATTATAACTTACATTGCCTGGTCAGAATTGTGCCTTCTGTAATGTAAACATTAGGCTGAAATTCGGATTCAGAGATTGAGACATTACGGCATTCAAAATGTGACTCTGCTTTCTTTTCTGAGATACTTTCCTAGCACACATTTATTGCAATCAATTTCACCACCTGTTTCAGACGTGCTCAATGTGAGTGATACTATTAGATTTTACAAAGTTGCAATATCATTTTACCATCTGATAAGAGGTTAAATCCCAAAGTTGTGCTAGTAGCATCTGAATGTCTTAAATCTCGGTCCTCGGATCTCCGTAAAGGTACAAAGAAGTGAAGAACACGGCAGAATCAGACTCGCTGGACTAACCTGCGAGTGCACCGCTCGCCACTTTCGTGATCCCTGCTCCAGAGGGGCTAAGGGACCGAACAGAATACTCACCACTGGGCCGTAATGAGAAGACTAGACATAATGTAAAGGACCCGTAACTGTACTTTTCAACCAAGTATAACTAATTTTGTTACGACCTACCACCCTTCCCTCACGTGACTCCCTACGGGCTGGCGCATTTTAGTGACGTCACGATTCAGTGCTACGTGAGGACGTTGACTCGAGCTCTGCGTTTCTGGTGTCACGTCGGGGTCGCTAGGTGGGCGCTGCCACCTGCCGCGTTGTACTAGCTTTGCGTCCGCGGGCCGGGTGGAAACTTCCCGCCAGTTCCTAGTGGGAACTTCCGGGAGAAAGCCCAGTTGCGGGCCATGACGCCATTGTGTCTCGGGACCCTCTCTTGAGGCGTCCCTCCTCTCGGGGGGAGGGGGAGGAAATGTGGCCTTTGGCGAGTCGCGGCAAGTGGTGCGGGCCTGCACTCGCGCTGTGGGTCCCCGGGGCCCCGTGGCGGCAGCTACCTGTGATCACCCGCTGGACTGCTCTGGAGTCCAGGACCCCGGACAGGCGCTACAGTTCAGCTGACCTCAAGGTGACCATCCTTTAGTCTCTGATTTGCCAGTTTTAAAACATAGGGAAGGTGCGTTTTGTGATTTCGGAAAGGTTAAGGACTTCTGTAACTATACACGTGAACGCAGCTGTAACTTAATACATGTGAACGCAGGTGCTTTTCTATAAAGGAGGCTACCGAGAGCGTGGTGTTGACGCGAGTTTCCGAACCTTCCAGTGCTCCCCAGTGTGACCTTGGACAAGTCACTTCCTGAGTTTCCTAAGTGGTGGCTTCAAAAGTTAGTTAATTGTTTATTCAAGGCTCTGCTCTAAACATGTATTTATATAATTCTAAAAACCTATTAAGGGATCGTGTAACTTCTCTGTTAACAAATATTAATAGCAGTATATCTAAGCTTGTAACTTGAGCTTCCTTTAACTCTTCATGTATTTGTCAGGAGTGCACATGTAAAAAATAGACCTTTCAGTCCACTTCCTACAATATTAGAGTTGCTGGCTGTGCCCTTACCTTCAGTTTGTTTTATGTTAACCCTGGCTAACGCAAATTTATGTGGTTCAGCTGCCTCTTTTTGAAGCAAGTTGGGGATTTATCTTTAGAATTAGGGATAGTATAGCTCTAAAAATTATACTATCATTACCAATAGATAAAGTTTGGGTACAATAGTGAAGTAATTGAATGCAAAGCTATGAGTAATTGGGAAAAGAACGTTGAGTAATCAGTTTTGCTCTTTTGAAAATGCCTGTGGAATTTAAAATTGATTAGTGTGGCAATTCATAGTTCTTAAAAATGGTATGGTCCCCGTTTGGGTTGGGAGTATGGGAGGATTCAAAAGGCAAACAAATCAGGTCCTTTTGTTTTGTTTTGCAGGTTTTTTTTTTTTGGCAGAGTTATCAAATACAGTTGCATTGTTTCTGTCCTATATTGAAGAACTTATTAAATAGAAATTTAAAGCTAATGGCAACTTTGTGCATTTCATTGTAATTCCACATGTATCTTTTGCTTATTTTAAAATACAGATTTGATTGAAAAAACTGTTCAGAGTTTTTTACTTGCATAGTAATTGAATGGCATTTTAGTAATTTTTAATAGTTTGTAATGAGTCTCAGTGCAACATCAAAAAAAAGTATGCACCAAATATCTGCAGTTTTAATTTTTAAGTATTTTTGAAGTTTACATAATGCCGCCTTTTTTGTTAAGGTGTTCATTTTACCTATGCCCAGAGAAGTTGCTGAGTAACAAAGGTGTGTCTAAGTTAAACTTTGAAGGCTTTTTTTAGGAGAACAGATTTTTAAATACATTTTACACTGCTGAAAAAATGTGTAATGGGGTAAGGAGTTTCCTTCCTTCCTCCACTTCCCCAGCTTTTTTCCTTGAAGAGGTTTTATTAGGTAAGTCACTCTGAAGTTGTTTGATAGTTATGGATATCATGTTCTTCACTTACTAAAATAAATTTTGTTTTTCATTGGTTCTCTAAGTAGTGGAAATACATAAGCAATTTTTACTTAGCTGCGTGATTAACTTTGGCAGTGAAACTGGTATGTTTGATGCGACCTATGTAACACACTGCTTTTAATATGAATTTAACTTTATTATCAGGGGAATAATGTAAGCAATACATATTTTAGAAATAAAATTGTTCAAAGAAGACTAAAAGAATATTCATTAGTTGAGAAATCTTAAATTATAAAAACTTGGTACTCATAAATGTAATGTTTCTTTATTTTGTAGGAAAAAATTGACATGTGCAGATTCCCTGTTGAAAATACTAGAAATTTCAGCATCATTGCACATGTGGATCATGGCAAAAGTACTTTAGCTGACAGACTTCTAGAACTTACAGGTACCCTCAATTTATACTATCTTTTTGATTGATGGCAGTGAGTAGTTAGTAATTACTTTAATCTGTTTTAAAACAATTTGGTTCTTATTTTTAGATGTTGTAGTGTCTCTTTTTAAAAGCCCAAAGAAATGTCGGTAACTGTTTCTCTTTATAGGGACAATTGATAAAACAAAGGATAATAAGCAAGTTCTTGATAAATTGCAAGTAGAGCGAGAAAGAGGAATCACTGTTAAAGCACAGACAGCATCTCTGTTCTATACTTGGGAAGGAAAGCAATATCTTTTAAATCTCATTGATACACCAGTAAGTTTAATGTTAATTTGTCTCTTGTTAAAGACAGCCTTGTAGTAGTAGTGTAAACAAATCCTTATTTAGTTTTTAAGCTGAATATTAAATACTTAGCATTGTTTTTTACTTGTCCAGTCTTCTTAAACTTTTTTACGAGTTCAGGCTAAAAAGAAGAAACTTAGTAAGCTTTTATTAAATGGAGTTAATGGATTTGTGATAATCCTGAAAAATACTACAGCTAACATAAGGGTTATCACTATTTTTTTTTCCCCCTCAGGGCCATGTTGATTTTAGTTACGAAGTATCCAGGTCACTCTCTGCTTGCCAGGGTGTTTTACTTGTGGTTGATGCAAATGAAGTAGGTACTTTTCATTTCATACAATATGACTTGGCTTTTTGGTTGTCTTCAAGAGATTTTCTTTAACAAGTGTTTTGGAAATAGTTTGTGTGTTTGTTTAGTCTGTCAGCTAAAGTAAGATTTATTATATTAATAAAAATCATATACTTTTGTTTTAAAGATGTATTCATCTACACATACCGAATCCGTGTACAGGCTGGAGGTGCAGGGGTGGTGATAGAGACAGAGTGGGGAGCAGAACAGGCAGATCTATGAAGAACACTGCTGAGGAGAGCAGCATGTGGGTCAGGAGAGGTCTGCCTTGCCATAAGGGTCATCTCTTGGGGCGAGCGGGGATCGAACTCATGCTTCTAGTGCTGTGCCTTACCTGCTGTGCCAGTAGGGAGGGCCCCCAAATCATATTCTTTATCCCTGTTAATTTGAAGTTTTATTCCACTAAAGTATTCTGTGGTACTGACTAGTAAACGTCTAGGTTTTAAACCAGGAGAGGAACTGTTTAAGAAATTGTACTTTTTAGAGATTTACAGTGTTGTTAGTAGATGTTTGCACATCGATTTTTAGCAAAACTTGAAAATAAGTCTTTAATTTTCAATTCATTGGGTTATTTTAAAGTAATAATTTGGGGATTGTTAGGTTTCTTTTTCCTTTTATTTTTCACTTCTGGTTCTTGTTAGTGAGCCTAACAGACCTTGTTTGCTAATATACCATTCTGGTTCTTGGGGAGTTGTTAGGTTTAACAGACATGTGGATAATGTTACTGATTTCTTTTGTGGCAAAAACATAACTCATGAGTATACCAGAGCAATGATATACTATTTAAATTAAGCTTTTGCTATATTTCAATTTCTTACAATGTCTTTATTCAAAAACCTCTCAGTTTTGTTTTTTTTTTTAATGTTAAATCTTCCCTGATTCTTTCAGGGAATGTTAATTCCTTCCCTAATCCCCACACATGTACTGCATGTTATAAACTGTATCTTGTGACTGTTGCCTTAAAGGTTCATGTTTTACCTTTGTGTTTGTACATTGCCCTGGTAGAGAGCCCCCAATTAATACTTTCAGAACTGAAAGGAATTTTCACAGGGAATAGATGCATGAAAGTATAGGTATCATAGCTTGTTGTGTGCTTTTGATGAACGTGTATCAGTTGGTTCTGATTTTCAAATTTTGGAGAGGTGGTAGCAAATCTCAGTGTCTTTTGTTTTGATTTTTCCAGGGTATTCAAGCCCAAACTGTAGCAAACTTCTTTCTTGCTTTTGAAGCACAGCTATCAGTAATTCCAGTTATAAACAAGGTAATTCTAGTGAGAAAACAATGCTATTTGTGATTTTACTTTATAAAAGTATAATTAGTGTTTGAATATCAAGTTAAATATGTTGGTGAGAACCAACTTCCAATGGGGGTGGGGGGTTGACTTTTGCCACACCATCAATAGGCAGTGCTTGGACACCAGCTAACTGTCCAATAATTTAACTCAATTCTGATACTACCTGGAGTTAGAATCTGATTTTACAGATATCTGCAAGACTTCCCTCTTGCTGCTGGTCTTACCTCCTAGTCCCCTATACCGTTTTCCAGCTAGATTGTTACCTGACCAGCTATAAAGACCCCGATGACTTCTTCCTTGGACATAGGACAATAATCGAAAGTCCAGGGTGTTACCTTACCAATCAGTATTTCTGACTGATTGGCTTTAAGTCAGAGATTCCAACAGGGACTCTTCTTTGGGTTCAACTAATTTGCTAGGACAGCTCACAAAACTCAGATAAATATTTCCCTTGCTAGATTACTGTTTTTTTAATAAAAGGATATACTTCCAGAACAACTAAATAAATATTTAAATGTATAGGGCAATGTATGTAGGAAGGCATTGACCTTTTTGAGTGCTCTGTTCTCCCCAAATCTCCAATCTGGAAACTCTCTGAAACCTTTCCTTTAGATTTTTGTGAAGTTGACTGGAGAACTTAAATTTAAGGATATAGACTGTGGAGCTAGATTGCTTAGGCTCAGAGGCATGATTGATTAACTGATTGGCCAACCCAATCTCTAGCCTTTCTGCTCTCCTTGGGGTAAGTGAAACTGAAAGTTCCAACCCTCTAATCTTATGGTTGGCTCCACTGGCAATCAATCACACTATGTAGGTGTGGTCCTGGAATCATCTTATTTACATCATAAAGTGATCTACCCACTTACATTTGAAGGGTTTTGGGAACAGTGTACCAGAAAGGGGCCTAAAAGCCAAATATATATTTCTTACTCTAAATCATAATATCACGTAACTCCACTCTATAAATGAAGGATCTTTAGCTGTTTATTTATATATTGCTGGGATTTATTTCTTTGGCTTCATGGATATAATTGCAACTCAAACACCTATACATTTTTATGTGGTTGAAAAGAGTCTCCTTGAATTTATATAAAATGATGGAGAGCTTTTTCTGTAGGAAAAGAATGCAGGACAGCCAAAATATGTCTGATACTGAAGTTAATTTAAGAGAAGCAGACTTGCCCAAATGTATGATGATATGGGGTCATAAGTTATTTCTAACTTAACATTAAAGTCAATTTACATGATACTAATTGATAAATTGTTATTGAATACTTTAGTGCCTAACTAAATTTTCTGCTGCCCTCTATTGTTTAGTTATCATGCTTGTTAAAATTGTATTTTCTCGATTTAGATTATATTAATGTTTTGAAAAAAAAGATCATTGAGAAATAAGTTAAAAGCAGTTACTCTTTCTTGCCCAAATACTGTTAATACATAATACATTTATCATTATAGTAACTCATAATATCTTTTTATAAGATAGATCTGAAGAATGCTGATCCTGAGAGTGTTGAAAAACAAATCGAAAAGTTATTTGATATTCCAAGTGATGAATGTATTAAGGTAAAATACCATTTTTTGAGGACATGGTTTATACTTTAAAAATTTCAGGTAATTTTTACATAAAAAAGTTCATAGCTTGCTTAATTATATACTGTTTTTATAGTTTTACAATGTCGTGTCATTTTTACTTGTGTGGTATATATATCAGTATGGCAGTATAATGTTTAATGTCTACTTTTAATCTCATTTGACTTTTTTGAAAAAGCAAGTTTCAAGTGGTAAGTTGTTTGTTTAACCTTAAAACAATGATGAATACAATTAACTTGATAAGAAATGAAGTAAGTTTCAGTCTTGGGTACACACACATATGGAGAATATAATGATTTATATTATGAAGAAGGACATCATCTTAAGGCAATCCTAGAATTTTGTAAGGTGTGATAGTAATTAGTAAATGAGTGTATATTCTCTAGCATATTCATTCAACAAATGGTAGTGTTCCAGATGGAATACTATTTTTTTTTTATTTTATTTTTTTAAGATTTATTTATTTATTTGTTCATACAGAACTGGGGTACAGGCCAGAGGCTCAGGGGCGGTGAGAGGCTTCACCAGAGACAGAGTGGGGAGCAGAACAGGCAGATCTACGAAGTACACTGCTGAGGGAAGCAGTGGGCGGGTCAGGAGAAGTCTGGCTCGCCATGTGGTCTCCTCCGGGGCAAGAGGCAGGCGGGAATAGAACTCAGGGAATAGAACTCATGCGGAAGTGGCTTCAGATTCTCATTGCTGTGCTTTAACCCGCTGCGCCACCAGGGAGGGCCGGAATACTATTTTTAACAATGGAGAAAGAAATCTTTTTTTTTTTTTCCTCAGAGAGATGCTATGAGCAGAGTACTTAGGGAAAATCTATTTGATAAACTTAGACATGAAAAAATGACGATTAGAAAAAAATGCATTTCAAGGAGGGAAAAAAAACAAGTATAAAATGCTTGAGGTATTTGTTACGGTTTAGCATGTTTTAAGGAAGAAAAAGGTAAGTTGAATGAGATGGCTTTATAGCAGTATATAGGTATTTTGTAGGTACAACAGATTTGCCTATGGGTTATGTGTAAGGAAGTAAAAGAAAAGACTCAGGAAGATGAATTCGAGCAACTGATTGAATTCTAGTGCTTATTAATATGGAGATGGTCTGAGTAGGAACAGATACAAGAGGAAAATTTAAGTGTCAAAGAGATATTTTATAAATCTCTAATTTTTGCATTTGTGGAAAGGTCTGGGACAGTGGATAGATACTTAGGAATCAGCACCTATGTGATATGAAGACCATGGAAATGGATGCAGCTTCCTAGGGAGAAAGTAGGTAGAAAAGTTACCTAGAAATCAGACTACATTATTGGGTTTTTTAAGCACAAAATTGGGAAGGATTAGGAAGTAGGATTAAGAATAGAAACTTTGGCCCTCCCTGGTGGCATTGCGGGTTAAAGCACAGCACTAAGAAGCTTAAACCTCTTCTAACTGAGTTCGATTCCCGCCTGCCCCAGAGGAGATCCACATGGCAAGGCAGGCCTCTTCTGACCCGCTGCTCCCCTCAGCAGTGTACTTTGTCGTTCTGCCTGTTCTGCTCCCCACTCTGTCTCTGGTGAATCCTCTCACCCTCTGCATCTCTGGCCTGTACCCCAGTTCTATATGAATAAATAAATAAATCTTTAAAAAAAAAGAATAGAAACTTTGAAAGACTGTTTTTGGAGAAGTGGAACACATTCTTAGGTTGGAACAAGTAAAAGCAAGGAGTTTGAGAGTATACGTGCATATCAATTTGTGTATATAGATAAGGGAATTTTTGATGTGTTCTGTATCCTTTAATGAAATCAGAAGGAAAGTCATCAATGAAAGTGAATTGACTAGAGGGGGAAATAGGAATTGAAAAGAAAGATGGTATGAAATAATCTTACTGAGTGGTAATATGGTTGTGTCCTGAAACTGCAGATCATGGGTTTTCCCAGGTTAAGCAGGTCTGAATATAAGGATGGAAAAGGCACATCTTTTGAGACCGTTACATTAAGGTTTTAACAATTGCTTTTGATTGGGAGAGAATAGAAAGGGATTGTAAATAGTGGACATTAGAATTTCATCATGAAAAGGAAGGAGGAAGGAAACTAGATAATGGTAATAGATAATGTAAAAAAAAAAAGAATGTCGATGGACTTAAGGTTGTAATCTTAAGAAATTGTTCAAAGATGATCTTGGAATCTTGAGCAGTGGTTCTTACTAGGGAATTTTTTTTTTTTTCCTGCAGGAGATATTTGGAAATGTTCAGAGACATTTTTTTTTTTTTTTTTTGGTTACTAATAGGGAGTGTTAGTGGAATCCTGTGAGTGGATGAAAGTAAACATCCTCTAGTGCATAGGTTAGCCTCTAAAACAATCAGCTAGCCCAGGATGTCCCTAGAGCTGAGTTAAGAAACCTAATCTAGAGTAAGTTTGAAGTGTAAGAGGTGATATTCAGGAATAGGTTTTTAAATTATGACTCGAAGACAGTCTAATTATAAGTGTTAAAAAAGGTAAGGTATGTGCATGTTTTATTGAGTCTTTCCAGCTTTCTCAATGTGAGAGCAAACAAGTAATAACATGTCTTACAGTTACTTCTATGCCATTTATACGTATTGTTTATTCTGTCTATAGAAAATTTTAAGATTTAGGTAAAATATGAATATTTATCAGCTAAGGATTTTAAAGTTCAGAGAAATATGTATTGGTCGAGGCAGTGCATTGCCTGCAGTCTTGTTTGTTATCCTGAATTTTTGAACTTAGTCCACTGTTTTTTCAGTACTATAATCAGGGTTTTTTTTTTAAAGAGGAAAAAAAAGTTTATTATGGAGAAAGGGAACAGAAATAAAGTGGGACTCCCAAGCCATGGGAACAGGCAGGGAGGAGCAAGGGAGCCCTAATCAGAGTGTTCTTGTAACTTAATGCAAGATACGCTGCTAATTGTAATTGAAGACCATTTTATGAGCATAGCATATACTTTGTGTTCCTTTTCACTTTATTCTTTAAGCAAAAAAAAAAAAAAGTTTCTTTATATATGTATATTTTTACAGTCAAGCATAGTCACCGGGATAAAAAACTATCTGTACTTTAAATATTTTTTTTCCACATATATATATTTGTAGATCTCTGCTAAATTTGGAACAAATGTTGAAAGTGTTCTTCAGGCAGTCATTGAAAGAATACCCCAGTAAGTATTTTTCTATTTTTGTACTTCTTGTATGTCTTTTAAAGTACTAAACTAATCAAGTTTATCTTTTGCTTGAGCTTAGTAATTATGACTGGTACATATACTGATAGTGAGAAAAACTTTTAAGTTTTTAGTAATATTCTTCTGTAAAACAGAAGAATGCAAAGATAAATAGGGGTTAATAGGGATCTCTTCTTAACATCATTGTAATAAGGGTTTGAGAATTGGCAGCTGTTTTCTTTTTTTTATACTGAATAAAAATATTTTGTTAGTTTTGTAATTTAAAACGTAATTTATTTAAAAGTCAAGGCTGAATTAAACATATATATATATACATACACACACACACACACACACACACATATATATACATAGTGAGAGATAGAAAGTCTTTATTTTTTTTATTCCATAATCAACCTTTCTCAAGTAAATTAAGCATACTATTTAATTTAAAAATGGGAATTTTATTAGATTTTAATTTGCTATTTTAATTTTTACATTTCTATTTGTTTTTAATAGTCCTAAAGTGCATCGCAAAAATCCTCTGAGAGCTTTGGTATTTGACTCCACCTTTGACCAATATAGGGGTGTGATAGCCAATGTAGCTTTATTTGATGGAGTGGTTTCCAAAGGTGATAAAATTGTATCTGCACATACTCAAAAGACATATGAAGTTAATGAAATAGGAATTCTGAATCCAAATGAACAGCCAACTGATAAACTGTAAGTAATCTGCATTAGTGATTAAAATACACTTAGGTGTTTCTATTTTTGCCTTTCTCACTTTGGTATAGCTAGCATGATCCTAGTTAGGTAATTTTTTTTTTTTTTAAAGATTTATTTATTTATTCATACAGAACTGTGGTACAGGCAGAGATGCTGAGGGTGAGAAGATTCACCAAGTACAGAGCGGGGAGCAGAACAGGCAGATCGACGAAGTACACTGCTGAGGGGAGCAGCGGGCATGTCACGAGAGGTCTGCCGCCATGTGGATCTCCTCAGGGCAGATCTCCTCCGGGGCAGGAGGGATCGAACTCATGCGGAAGTGGCTTTAGCTTCTTAGTGCTGTGCTTTAACCCGCTGCGCCACCAGGGAGGGCCCTAGTTAGGTAATTTAAAAAAAAAGAAACAGGACCCTCCCTGGTGGCACAGCGGGTTAAAGCATTGCACTAAGAAGCTTAAGCCACTTCCTCATGAGTTCAATCCCCGCCTGCCCTGGAAGAGATCCACATGGCATGGCAGACCTCTCCTGACCCGCCCGCTGCTCCCCTCAGCAGTGTACTTCGTCGATCTGCCTGTTCTGCTCCCCACTCTGTCTTTGCTGAATTCTCTCACCCTCCGCATCTCTGCCTGTACCACAGTTCTGTATGAATAAATAAATAAATCTTTGAAAGAAAGAAAGAAAGAAAGAAAGAAAGAAAGAAAGAAAGAAAGAAAGAAAGAAAGAAAGAAAGAATCTGGATTATTTAATTTACACACATAGTGAATGTTCTTTTGAGAGACATCTCAATGTGTGAAGGGCAGTAGAAATTTGGTAAATTTTTATGCCTTTTGGTTAGCTATAACTATTGTGATTTGATGAAGACTGGGTTTGATATTTGATGAGACAGCCAAAGATGTTTATATCTATACTGGATAGTTTGCACTTAACTTTTACAATTAAATTCTTCAATATGAAGGTAGTATAGAAACTCTGATAATTCTTATGTAGTGGTGATCATGGAAAAACCTTGATTAACTAGAATTTATGGTGTGTGGAGTTAGGAAGATAAGGTGCGTTAGAAATACTGAATTCTGAGTTGACATATAAGTGGTACTTACTGAGTGCCTCCCCATCAGTATTCCAGGTACTAATAAGATAGATCACTTTGACACATAGTTGAAATTTTCTGTCTTGGTGTCTTCATCTGTGAAAATTAAGATATTGACCAGGTGACTGTATAGTCACACTTGAAGTTTTAGACAAAACTAACATTTTGTTCACTACATTTTTTTTATTTAAGAGTCTTTACTCAAATGTCTTTAAAGTCTGTCTGTATTCTGCCATTCATTGACCTAATGTTACTGCATCTTCAGTTAGGGTTCTTGTACCACATCCTAAATGTACATTAGTTCATTTCATGTTTGCAGTTTGCTATTCTTGCTTTAAAAAAAAAAAGCTAAATTTTTGAATTATTGATATTTGCTTTTGTCTTCAAAGAAAAATGTAAGATAGATGTGAGATTCATTAAGAATTAACATTTTTCTTCCTGGTTGCTTTTTTCCCTCTCTCCCTATTTAAGGCACATTTGTAACACAATTCACTAATGAAACAGACATTATAAGGGATATGTTGTCTTTTTCAGTTTCCCTATGTTTACAATATAGTTTACAACTGAATAATATGCGAAGGTGGGGAAATTCATAAAGAAGTTCTTGAACTTACATTGGTACAGAGATTCTTGGTAATGATTTGTAAGTCATGATGTGTTATTTTCTGACAATCCTTAGAGTTGAGAATTGCTAGGTAGCATTTCCAGTTTGATTAAATTTTGTTGGAAAGTATGAGTATTTCCTGGTAAGGTAGAGCTAATTGTGAGTATCTACTTTGCTACATTAAAGCAGTAAATATTTCCATATAATGATTTTATTTAGATATGCAGGACAGGTGGGCTATCTGATTGCTGGGATGAAAGATGTCACTGAAGCACAAATAGGAGATACATTATATTTACATAAGCAACCAGTGGAACCCTTGCCTGGGTTTAAGTCAGCGAAACCAATGGTATTTGCAGGTGAGAAGCTCACAAATCCAAAGGATGAGGGACACATTTCTTTAAAAATAAGTTTGTAAATTGAAGTGAAAATTACTAGAAATACTTATTTTAAATATCATATTCTAACATATTAAATATGTTTAAATAACATATTTTAAATAACATTCATATATTATCAAATAACATTCTGTTTATTTTATTGTGTACTATTTGCATATTAACAGTTTCATATGTATGGTGAAACTTTGTGGTAATCATTCCTAAATTCTTTAATACTTTTTAAGAAATACACTCCTACAAAACATGCTGTCTTATATTTAGCAATAATGTGAATTCCATTGTTTCCCTATTGATTTAGTCATTATATTTAATTTTTTTCTAATTATGATGTCTTTATTACTAATTATTGGTGGACATTTACTGAGTGCTTTCCCCTCTCTTAACTGGCCATTACTGTTGTACCAGTATGGATATAAAAGATAATAGTGTCACCTCATGTTTGCATAACATGGAAACTTTTATTGCTGTGTGATATTAATTGACTTTTAAAAAAGAAAAGACCTAATTGTAGGTCAGGTTACTCTGTACTGGGTATTTAGCCTTTGTTTTTCTCCTTTTAGTTTTAATATTTCTTATTGAGAATTTAAGAACATTATTTACCCTGACATTTAGGCAAAATCAGTCTTTTGGATTTTGGAAGGCTTGAGGTGTCAGAATTAAAAGAATCTAATGAATCAATTTTTTTTCAGTAAATTGACAGAAGTAACACCTATCTTTGATTTTAATAAAGATAATTTACTCCAAAGGATTAAAAAATCAGAGTAGTTTTCATTTCTACTCCTGCTTTTTAATCTAAGAATGTAGTTTCAGTTGTGGTATTGGTTTGTCATGCACTTTTATTTCTTGAAATATAAAATATAGTTTCTTGAAGCAAACAATATAGTTTTTAATAGGTGATATATTTAAAAGCTAAGTGATTGTCATGTTTAAATTAATTCTTTACATACCTTTACACATATGATAACTAGGAATCATTGTGTCCCCAGGAATGTATCCTATAGACCAATCTGAATATAATAACTTGAAGAGTGCAGTAGAAAAATTGACTTTAAATGATTCCAGTGTGACAGTTCATCGGGATAATAGCCTTGCCTTGGGTGCTGGCTGGAGGTAAGATTGTATTACATTGTAGAGTCTCATTTGTAGTGGAAAATAAGAGTTAAATGACTTGCTCTTGAATGTTTCTAAACATAAGTTCAGTGTAAAGTGAACTAACAGTTTTTGTCTGTCTATTTCACACTGTGGATTTATATTCTGTGGATAAGTTTATAGTGATTTTACCGGTGAAAGATATAACCAAGATTTAAAGAAATTATGTTGCTATCTTACTACAATGTGAATTGCATAAGTGACTGTTGATTCCATCCCTACTTCACACAGTACACCAAAGAAAAAAGAACCCATGGTACGTAAACATTTTTGAGTTTGTTTTTTTTTCCCCTCTTAGGTTGGGTTTTCTTGGACTTTTGCATATGGAAGTTTTCAACCAGCGACTAGAGCAAGAATATAATACTTCTGTTATTTTGACAACACCTACAGTTCCATACAAAGCTGTTCTTTCATCAGCAAAATTGATAAAGGTATTGTTGTGAACCAGTATAAAAGAGAGAACTAAATAAATGTACATGTGTGTAGAATGCAAGAGAAACTTCTGCGTACATCAGTTGTTGACTAGTATTAAAACTAAGTGTTTCTTGAATGGTAGTAATAAAACTTGAATAACCTTAATACTAATGTTGTAAACACTCATTGGCAAACTAAATTACATGCTATTTTTCCTTAATCTGGTAAGATTATCACATTATTAATACTGAGGATAAAAAGTAGAACTAATAATGAAAATATTCAAAACCCAGCACAAAGATGGAAGAATATAATTCTGCTGATCATTATCTTTGAAAACTGAGGTAATCATGCATATATATAGGAATTTTGGATTTCAAGTTAGTAATAGAGACAATATTGTATTCTATCTTCGAGGCACTCTTTTAATTGTAAACAAGTATTAAACTTGGCATATAACAACTTTGTAAAACTAAGGCAACTAATTATAATGCCTTATACAGGAGAGATTAAAATCTATACTTACAACTACCTTTTTTTAAAGTGTACATGAAGTTTGGTTAGTAGATGTTAGTAACCAGACTATAATACCGTAGTAAATTCTTATTAATATTAAATGATATAATTGGAAGGTTCTTTAAATCCAAAGTATACTGATTTTTTTTTTTATTAATTTCATCAGGTTCAATGACATAATTAGAAGCAAATTACAGCACTGTTTTTAATGCTTGGTGATTTTTTTTTAGGAATACAGAGAAAAGGAAATTACAATCATCAATCCTGCACAATTCCCTGATAAGTCAAAAGTGATAGAATATTTGGAGCCAGTTGTTTTGGGCACCATTATCACACCAGATGAATATACTGGGAAAATAATGATGCTATGCCAGGTATAAATATTACACAATTTAATACAGAAATTAGTTTTAGCATTTTCCAATACTGGTTCCCAGCTCAGGTTTTTTTTTTTTGTTACTGTTGTTTGTGTGTTTGTTTTTAACGATTTAGTTATTTATGCATACAACAGCTAGGGTGCACACTTGAAGTATGGGGAGGTGAGAGGACTTTCACCAGACATAGTGAGGAACAGAATAAGTGAGTTGGCTGAAATAGACTGCTGAGGGGGGCAGGGAGTGAGACAAGAGAGGTCTTCTTTGTCAAGTGTTTAGCTCACTGGTCAGGGATCCATTTTGTGCTGTAGTGACTGCACATGGCTTCATAGTGCTGAGACTCAACCCCTTGTGCCACCACAGATGCCTGGTGAAAGATTCCTCTCCGCCCAGTACATTGTGTTTAGGAAATTTTCATTAAAGATCCATATCTATATATGCTTTAAAAAAAAATTATTTATTGATGCATGCCAGAACTGGAGTATAGGCCAGAGGTGCAGTAGCGGTGAGAGGATTCCCCAGAGACAGAATGGGGAGCAAACAGGTAGGTCTACTGAAATACACTGCTATGGGGAGCAGTGGGCAAGATAGGAGAGGTTTGCTGCACCATGTGGGTCACCTCCCTGGGATTGAGCTTGTATTGAAGCAGCTGCAGCTAGTTTCGTAATGCTGTGCTTTAACCCGTTGTGCCACCAGGGAGGGCCCTTTACATATGCTTTTAAAATTATTTTCACTTTAAATAAAGTAGAGGCCCCTCCCTGGTGGCACAGTGGGTTAAAGCACTGCACTGAGAAGCTAAAGCCACTTCCGCATGAGTTCGATTCCTGCCTGCCCTAGAGGAGACCACATGGCGCGGCAGACCTCTCCTGACCCGCCCGCTGCTCCCCTCAGCAGTGTACTTCATAGATCTGCCTGTTCTGCTCCCCACTCTGTCCCTGGTGAATCCTCTTACCCTCTGCATCTCTGGCCTGTACCCCAGTTCTGTATGAAATTAAATAAGTCTTTAAAAATAAATGAATAAATAAATAAATAAATAAATAGAGCCAAAATTTTTGATCATCTGTGTTAATTTACTGAATTGATATTTTAGCCCAAAGGAAAATTTGATTCTTACTTCTCTTCTGTAGCCAAAGTATAACTTCTTTTTGCCATCTTTAGTAACTGACATTGAATATAATTTGAAAGATGATTATGATACTTCAGAGACCTTTGATTAAAAAGCACTCCCATTTTGCTTTCATTCTTCTTCCACATTATAATGCCCAAATTGGATATAATCATTGTCTTCAAAATATACTTATTTGCAACACTCCAATATGAATAAGAATAGGAAACAACTTTGATTTTATTGTTAAATGAAATACTTTATAAAAAAATAAAATTACTTAAAAGGATTAAAAACTATGATAGCATGTATAATGTAATTGAGCTATAAACTTAACCATTAACGAAATATCCCTTCATTTTTGCCCTCTGTATAGGAATTATAAAGAAATTTTTAAGTTGGTAATTGACATTTGTCTATTATCACATTAAATCATTATTTGAATAGGGTATGATTAATTCTTTTGTAGGCTCGAAGAGCAGTTCAGAAGAATATGATATTTATTGATCAAAATAGAGTTATGCTGAAATATCTTTTCCCTTTGAATGAAATTGTGGTGGACTTTTATGATTCTTTGAAATCCCTATCTTCTGGATATGCTAGGTAAATATATAAAGGGAAATGTAGATCCTGGACATATTTTTTTTTTTAATATTGACCAGTCTGAATATACTAAAGCTTCACTTACTAATCTCAACTCTTGAAGATAATTGAGAATCACATTCTAAGGGTGGAAAGACTTATAGCAAACTTCTAGGTGTTAAAGAATGCTTGCTTGTTGCTTCTTGGAGAGTAAGTTCCTTTGATTGATTCAAATATTACCATTCTTGTTTTTTTAAAGAGATTTATTTTATTTATTTATGCATATAAGAACTGGGGTATAGGCCAGAGGTGCAAGGGGTGAAAGGATTCACCAGAGACAGAGCAGGGAGCAGAACAGGTGGATCTACTAATGCTTCTGAGGGAAGCAGCTGGTGAGCCAGGAGAGGTCTGTTGCGCCATATGGGCCAGGTAGCTATGGATAGCTTGATGCATAGAGACTTTCATACCTGTGCCACCAGGGAGGCCCTGTTAATTACCCTTTTAATGAAAAAAAGGTTACTGCTCCCTTAATGAGAAGAGCCATGCTCTACTTCTTAAGAATTATACATAAAGGAACCTCCATGGTGGTACACTGGTTAAATTCCCAGTGCTATCAAGCTTTTACCAGTCACTGCAATATGAATTTAATCCAAGGCTAGGGAGCCGACCTACATGGTGCAACAAACCTCTCCTGTCCAGCCTGCTGCTCTCCTTAGCAGTTTATTTCAGTAGATTTCCCTGTTCTGCTTCCTACTCTGTCTGTGGTGAAACCTCTAACTTCCCACACCTTTGGACTATGCCCAAAATAAATAAAATTATTTATTTTGCATGCAAAAATAAATAAAATTAAATCTTTTTAAAAAGTTAATTGTATATAGTTCAAAAAGCTAGTTACTGTGAGCTTAAGTGAAACTTTTAAAACTTTTGTATGCTATGCAGTCCTAGGAAAGTCTGTATCCATTTAAAAAAAAAGACGCATTTTTTACTTAGTCTGTAAAAACATTGGAACATTGGGAAGAAGGTGCTATTTGCCAATAGGGATCCATTTCTCTGTACTGCCTAACCAATTTCTTTTTCTCTCCCATGTAGAGAGGTTCCCTTATGGCTTCTACCCCTCACTTCATAAACATAAAGAGATGAGGAATTGTGGTTCTGATTGTGGTTATTCATATCCACTCATCCTGAAATATACATGCAATATTTTTGCTAGAAATATGTTTTTGGGTGGGAGAGAATAGAAAAGGAATGTTTCAAAATAAACAAAAAATGTTTTGGGGTGTATAAATTATCATTTGGATATTTTTCCTTGTTAGTTTTGATTATGAAGATGCAGGCTACCAGACTGCAGAACTGGTGAAAATGGATATTCTGTTGAATGGAAATATTGTAGAAGAGCTAGTAACTGTTGTACACAAGTAAGTTAAAAAGAAACTTAATCATGGTATGTGTAAGTCTTTACTTTTGACAAGTCTTTAATTCTTGGTTGTCATTTTTTTCTGTCGCAGAGACAAAGCACATTCTGTTGGTAAAGTCATATGTGAACGTCTGAAGGATTCTCTGCCTCGGCAGCTATTTGAGATTGCAATTCAAGCTGCCATTGGAAGTAAAATCATTGCAAGGGAAACGTGAGTTGAAATTATATTTTGTTCCAGGTTTTGTTTTAGAAATGATATACCTTGGAAATAAAAGAATATTGAAAAATTTAATATTGACCTAAGCTTTTTTCTGTGTTTAGAAACAATAAAGTAATTCCACTCATTGAAATGATAACTTAATTAATTCTATAATACTTAAATATGATGTAATTTACCATTATTAATAAATGTAAACTAATAGGTTTGAATAATTGTTTTATTTTCCACTCATTTGACTGTAGTGAATTTTCTGGATAAGGCATGGTGTTAACTTTTTATAATTTTATCTTTTCAAGTAAAATATAAGCTAATAAACTGAATTGTAGTTCATGTGAAACATTTAGCTCACTTCCTCAGCTAGTCAGAAAGATAAGAGAGGAATGGTAATGTAAGATTTTTTCATTCTAGATTAGAAACTTCACAACTGATGTGATAGTCATGGAAAATAGGCTGATTTGTGTAGAAAACTGGTCTTTTCATGAAACAAAATATGTGTAAGTCAAAACATGGCATAAGGCATAGGAAGTCTTGTATTTCTATTAACTTTTCCTTAATGACCTTAAGGCTTCTGAAAAATCAAAACTATCTCAGATTACCATTTAGTTCTACCTGAACACAAATCCTAATGCATAAGTAATGAACACAATCATTTATATAGTTATGGGATAAATTTTATGCATGTATTTATAATAAGTTTCAGTTCCTAACACACCACTTTTTTTTTCAATAAGTTATTTGTGATTAACGAACACCAAGAGATTAGGTAGAGTAGAATTGATAACCGGAGAGCTTTCTTAGAAGTGCAATTTACAATAGTAATCATTCTAACTCAAGTGTTTAAGTAGTATCACAGTGAAAACAAGAGACATGTATCTTCTTATGGAATATATAGAAGTGGATATAGTTTTATGTTTCTCAGAAACATTACAGATTACTTTAAATCTGCTTGGATGGCTATCTTAAAATTCATTTTACCCCAAATTGAGTTTTATAAAAGCAGTTGAGAGCTATTTTTATTCCTAGTCACTCTTCACTATATTTAGTGGAGTTAATAACCATTTTTAATTTTTTTGGAGCTTGCAGTTATAGTAGTATTTTTAGCTTTGCCAATGACTTTATGTAATTATTATAATCAAAGTCATACCATGCCTGAATTTTACCTGTAATGTACAAGCCTTGACTTTTTTTCCTAAATTCAATTTATATTTCATTTATCTTCTGCTTTAGCCCAGTACATGAAAATAAATACAAGAACATTTCAGCTACTTAATTATTTGCTTATGGCTATTTATTTTATGTAGGTATAACACAAACATAACAATCTTAAAGGGGCAAATTGTTTTGTGAACTTCTAAACAATGTGTCATCTACTTACATAATTTTTCCTCTTTTGCAGTGTGAAAGCTTACAGGAAAAATGTTTTGGCAAAATGTGTATGTATCTACTATAGTCTATTTTGTAGTAATATATTTTTTATGCTTTCAAGGTAAAGGGGGTATGTACATGTATTGGTTTTCCTTATTGGTTTTTATAATACCCTTTATTTCCGTGGTTTGCTGTAAATTTCATCTTTTGATAGTACATTTATTTTGATCACATTATTTTCTCATTTATAAAAATCTTACATATAGTACTAAGAAAGCAGTTTACAACAACTATGATGAGTAAAACACTGTTGATTTAATTTTTATAAGATTTTGAAGACAATGCCTATAATGCAGTGAGAAGCATGGGAATGGAAATTTACTTCTTATTACTCTGCTGAATTTTCTTTCTTATCTATTTAAAAAAAATAAAGGTAACCTTAGGGATCATCTCCATTCAAAAATAAAGTTCTTTACCACTAAGTTAAATTAGGATTGGTTAGAGAGGGAACTTGAATTATAAGATGGTTGTTGATATATTGTGTCTTTGTAATTACATGAGTTTCCTATGGAATGATTTGAATTTCCAACTTTTAAAATATTTTTCAGTATGGTGGTGATATTACTCGAAAAATGAAACTTTTGAAGAGACAAGCAGAAGGAAAGAAAAAACTGAGGAAAGTTGGAAATGTTGAAGTTCCAAAAGATGCCTTTATAAAAGTTCTGAAAACACAATCTAATAAATAATTGTGGGGTAAATATAAGGAATTATTATTAAAAAAAATTTTTTTGCACTTTATATTGAAAACAGAAAAAAAAATTACAGCATTTGCTTGGTAATTCCAAAGATATCAGGTATAAATAACCTTTTTACCTTTGAATGGGAGTAGTGGGTGGGTAAAAGTAGTGTTTGAATTTTTGTTAAAAATTTATTTTTATTTATTTATGCATACAAGAACTGGGGTGTAGGCCAGAAGTGTAGGGAAGGGGGAGTGAGATGATTCATCAGAGACAGTGTGGGGAGCATAACAGGTGGATTGACAAAAATACACTGCTGCGGGGAGCAGCTGGTGAGTCAGAAGAGGTATGCTGGGCCGTATGATTAGCTGCCTGGCCTGGATTTGAACTCAGGATGCAGTGGCTGGTGATAGCTTAATAGCATTAGGCTTGAACCCCAGCAGGGGCAGTGATAGGATTCACCAGAGACAGAGTGGGGAACAGAAGAGGCAGATTGACAAAATACACTGCTGAGGGGAGCAGCGTGTGAAGCAGGAGAGGTCTGCGGTGCCATGTGGGTCACACCTCCCTAACCAGGGATGGAACTTACACAGAAGCGGCTGTGGCCAGCCTCACTGTGTTGTGTTTTAACCAGCTGCGCCACCAGGGAGGGCCTGAAAGCTTGCATTCTAAAGCCATATTGCCTGGTTTTAAATTTCTTTTCTACCACTTACCAAGGTAATTCTGGCAAAATTTATTCACCTTGTTGACTCTTATAGTAAAATTGGTATTATATTACTTATCTCTGTAGGTTGTTGTGAAGATTAAATCAAATATTTAATACATTCAGAGGAGTGCATAACATGGAGTAAGTGCTCACAACCTGTCAGCTACATATATTTTTTCCCATATTTTATTCTCTATTAAAAGGACCCAAACTTTAGGCTCTTGTAGGTCACGCCCAAGGTAAAGTTTTCAAAATCAACTAAAGTACCTGTTTTTAGCTGGATAATTTAGACCTTATATATGAACCAGTATTTAATATATGCTTTCTAGACATGCATCTGGAGTTTTTGATGAAAATTTCTGTAATTTTATCAAATGTTACTGTGAAATTAGATATATATACATGTAAATTTAAAAAAAACAGCTTATGGGGCTGCTTCTCATAAAATACACAATGTAATGGGTGTTTGGTATTAGCATCATTTGCTATTAATAGCAATAATTACTGTCTAGATTTCACAATTTGAGGCTGAGCTTTAGAATAGATAAGTAATAAAACCTGTAAATGTGTTTTCAAAGTGCATACTCTTCATTTTCATGCTTTCTCAGTGAATGAACCATAGGGTATATTACAGTAAGAAAATAATGAACCATAGGGTATATTACAGTAAGAAAATAAGTTAACCATTGAGTTTTATTCTTGCATTAAATGAACTGAATGAGCTAAATGTCTTTTAGTTATAAGACACAGGTATAAGAAAAATGTTGAATTTATCCTATGGTTACTACACTGAAATAATTTTAAAATGAGATAGTGGGAATTTACTTAAAATTGTATACAGGTTAATTCTGTGATTTAGTCCTAATCATATAATCAGCTTAACTACATTTCTAATTCTAACAGAATATGTAAAATATAAGACTTTGGCAAATGTTTTGGAAAATGGCAATATATCTGAAATTGAATTTAGTATGTGACAGTCATGAGGCTATGCTGAGCTCTATAGGCATCCCCTCACTCAAGCTACACAGCACTTGAGATAGACGCACTGATTACCACCCCATTTTCATAAGGGAAAAGCTCTGACTTGTATATTGTTCAAATATACTGTTCATAACAGACTAAAATTAAAATAATGGAATCTCATTCATCGATACCATTAAGAAATACCCTCGGTAGGCTTCCTAGTTCTTTACTAAGCAATAGCTTAACTTCAGAGTCGTGCTCCTGTGGCCAAAAAATAGTTTATTAAGCATGGATACAGGGACCTAAAACTAGCTTCATAACATCAAAAGCAGTGATGAAAAATGTTTAGACCCTGTTTCAGGTATCACATTTAAAGCACAGAAATACTGTTGAATTGTGCCCCCAAATAGGTTATCTTTCAACTTTTTTACTCATGGTAAGACCTTCTAAAGGTATAGTTTGCAGTAACCAATCTTTAGTTATTAGGAGTATGACTGAGACTTGAAATTGACTGAATATGCATTTAGGAAACAAAACATTAGCAGCATATTTTATCCTAACTTTATTTTCATTTAATTTAGTATTTAAATATTTTAAGAAATTGATTTATAAATACATTTCAATCACAAAGATAATTAGATATATAAATTATGCTAGCAGGTACTTTTATAAAATGCTAAATATGCAGAATAAAGGAATATTTTTCACTCCTTGTGGAACAAGACTAAGGCATCATAGGCAGCAAGTCTTTCAGCTAGAAACTAATTGTATGATAGCAACACACAAAATGAAGATTCAGCTATTACTAATTATTGGATGGAGTTTTTTGGATACATGTGTTCTTTTAATTTCTGGAAATAAATTTTAGATAACAGTTGTTTATTAATAAGCTTTATTTGAGTTAAATAAGAACTTATTTACAGTTTAATGATGCAAGTTATGGCAATTTAAAATAGTTTACAGTAATTTTATATAAATTTTAATTTCATCTTATCCTTTTAGACATACCTATATATAAGGAATATAGCTAATCATTTATGAAATTTAACAACTGGAAAATTTTCTTCAAAAGAATTTCCTTAAGTATGTTACTAGGTATAAAGCTCATAATTGCCAAAATATTTATATTAAGAGCAGGAACCCAAGTCATTAAATAAAAATAAGCACATTTGTAAAAAAGTGCTATAGAAGAAGGTGCAAAAAACATGCACTTATACATACTTTCCAAAAAGACATAAACTATACTTTTAGGCACTGTCATCTCCTAATTTTCTGTACCAATGATATGTAGCAGGACATTTAATGTCCAAATGTTACTACAGGAAAATAAACTAAGGCTTCCACGTGCAGAAAGCTTGTGTGTAATGCAGAGAAAACAAATGTTCCAAAAGTAAAAGTCTGCTATAATAGTTTGATAACTGGAGGCTCAGAGAGTAACTTTGTGTGTTTTAAAAATAAAAATCTAAGAATGCCATGGAAATCATGAATAGTACTTGTACAGAACTGTTATCTTTAAAATGACTTAAAACTTTTAAACAAGCAGGTATTTAATCTCTGTGCTGTTGTAAAGGGTGTCTCAGGCTTCAGTACTTCATGATAACAACCATTCAATGGAAAGCCAGTTTCATCTAAATCCTACTATAAAATGGACATTCTAAATATGGAATGTTTAACACATAGATATTGGACTTCAAAAATGACAGTCTTAAAAATTCCCATTTTATCATATTGCATAGCTGAAAATTCATCTAATGAAAGTGTCCTGTTCATTCAAGCAGAATTTGGCTCCAATCTCCTTCAATTTCCTTCCTTCATACTGAATAGTGGATCCACAAGTTTATTGTGCACATGCATTAAACCTTAAAAAAAAAGCACAGTTCTGATTGTATAAATCTTCAGTTATCTCATTTACTCTAGAAAACAAAAGATTTTGTAAATATAATAGTTCCCAGCTGCTAAAAATAAAATAGTTGTTTATTATAAAAAGATTTAAGAGTATTTTGGAATATTTTGTCTACCTAGCAAACATTATTTTCAATTATTTATAAAATATAGATCAAGAATATGTGTATGTATATAGGTTCTTTGGGGGTAGCTGGAAGTTGGAGTTCTTGTCTTTAGGAGCTTCAATATAACACAATAACATATCTGAATATTGACCTTGTTATTCTCTTCATTAAATCTAAAAATCTTATGTTGATTTGATTCTCAGGCAGTTGTTTCACCAGATTCCAGCAAGGGACTCAACTTTTGTTATATTAGTATAAACTTTAGTTCTCCAAAGTTGCCCTTCTCTGTTTGTTCATTTGGTAAATTATTTTCCACTATTTGACCTATACATTTACAACAGAGGTTGCTTATAAGCCACACATAAGGTGGGTTACAAAATAACTCAGGAGACAGCCTATATGAAATATTAATTTCTATGTAAATTTAAATTTTATAATTGATATGTTTAAATATTACTTATTAAAGCTTGAGAACTAAATTATTTTCCAGCTACTTATAATCAATACATATACAATGTATTTTGAGATGAAATAAAGTGTGGCAACTAGTAATTTGGAGGTTCGAGAAATCAGTTAAATTGTTCAGATTAAGAATAATGGTAGAGCTCTCCCTGGTGGCACAGTGGTCTAAAGCACTGCTATGAAGCTCTCGGAAGCCACTGCAGCATGAGTTTGATCGTCCAGCAGGGAGCTGACCCACATGGCCTGGCAGGCCTCTCCTAACCTGTCTGCTGATCTTCTTAGCAGTGTATTTCAGTGGTCTGGGTCTGCCTGTTCTGTTCCCCACTTTATCTCCAGTGAAGCCTTTCATCCACCACACATCTGGCCTGTACACCAGTTCTATAAGCATAAATCTTTAGAAAAAAGAAGAATGGAAAGGAACTCCAAATGTGATCTTCTTAGGTAATGGGATTATTGGAATGAGAGAACAGTACTTCTGTACAAAGTAGATGTTTGTCCAGGACTCAGCAAAAGCACTCTAAAATCCAAATTGAAGAAAGTGGAATCAATTTTTAGAGATGAGCAAAGAACAGACTGCACAAAAAGCACTGAGAATTGTTCATGTGGTAGATAAAAACCACAAAGAATCTTGAAGGAAGAGAAACATACATACACTGCTGCAACTAAAGAGAATGCTAACTATGCCACTGCCTAAGCCTGGTGTCTAATCAGAATCTCAAATTTAGCAAGTTCACATCCACCTTCCCCTTCCAAGCTATTTCTCTGTTAATCTTGTCATAGTGAGTTATGCTTCAATCAGTTGCTAAAGCTAGAAAACTAAAATTTACACTTGACTTTTCTTTATATTCTCGAATAACCACCCTAGTCCAAGCCACTTTAGTTCTAATCTGGCTATTTCCAGTTCAGCACCCTACTTTACATTATTTCCCCATCCCATAAAGCAGTTTTTGTATGCATGTAACCTAATGTTTTTAAAACCTAAAAGTGATTATATCATTTCCCTATTTAAATCTTCCAATTTCTTCTGGTCACTTACAGTAATTTGAGTTTTATGATACTGTTTTCTCATTTTCTCTATATAGCCTAGGACCATAACTCAAATTCATTTTTTTCCATGTTGATGGAGGACATACTGACAGAGGTTAATATTCTGAACCTCTTTAAAAATACATCTACAGTGTCCTCTAAGAGGAAACATAGCAATTCTCTCATGAATAGTTTATACTGCAAAATGTTTAAGAAAAGTCTAGAATCTGTATAGATAAACTGAAAGAACTAAATACATATCATATACTTCCTTTGGCTTAGCCTGTCTTTAATATGTCTGAATACAATGATCATGGGATAAAGAAAAAAAGAAATAATGATTGGTATCACATTTTAGCCAAAGATTGCTCCTCTTCTGTGAGGCAGTATCAAGAGTGAACAAGAAAAGGCCCATACTCTAGGTAAACCTGGTTTTGATAGCCCAGTTCTGTTCACGTATGATCCGTATAACAGGTGAGTTTCTGAAGTTTCTTAATAGATGTCAAGTCATCTGTAAGTAGGATTATAATAGTACTCACAAAATAGAATTGTGGTAAGTAAATAAATATGTATAATGAGCTTGAATAGCATGCAGTCATAAGTATTAGCTGTGGTCAGCTCCCTGGACAGGACCGAACTGCTACAGTGGCTGTATAGCTTCATAGTGCTGACACTTAATCCTTCTGCGCTACCAGGAAGTATCCTCTATTAAACGTTATAGGTCATCAATATATAAAAAATTTCTGATAAACACCAATTGGCAAAATCAAATAAGTAGACAGGTTTATCTGGGATCGCTGGTACTAGAAAATTGCTGTTAAATAAAACTCCTTAAAACTGGCATTAAAGTAAGCAGTAACAACTTTTCTTTTTCAAGAGATCTGCTATGAAATCTATTGGACTACATGTTTCCAAAAGCTGTGTCTTATTTACAACCTCACATCTGAGATTGTCCCTGCTTTTGGCTGTCAAATTAAGAATCTATCTGTCCCTTGGATACATTTGGACTTGGTTTAAAATAACCCTGATAATTTCACTGGTAAAAAATAAATGACGAGAAGTAATTAAGTTTTTAACAATATGGACATGTCCAAGGAAAAATTATAATGTCTACTTGACTACTATCCAACCATAAAAACTAATTTTGAGGAATGTTTAGTAAAACAGGAAAATGCTCATAATAGGTAAGTGTAAATATAAAACTACATATTGATCAAAATTTTGTTTTCAAAATTAACTATTCCACTGTGCCAAATTTTAGTCACTTGTATATCATGTTCAATATTTTTGCCATACTCATATTTACAAAACTGACTTTACTCAATTGACTTACAAGTTTTGTGTTTACATACATATTTCATGAATGTAAGAAGCAACGGACTATAACAGTTATTTTAATGTAGTACTAAGATAAAAGGCTACCATTAAGAGACCTTAATTATAAACAACTGTTTCAGACAAGATTAATCTGAAAGAAAACAAAACAAAAGGTGTATCTTAGAGGTAAAAAAGATTAACTTCTTTAATTCTGTGATAATCAATTATACACATAAAATATGTTTGCTAAACACCTAGCTACTAAGGTGAAAGATTAAAAATAAATTTGTAATTGTAATATCAGGAAATACACTATATATGCTGAATTCCTTATTAACCAATTACAGAATATTTTGATATCAGCTTATAAATAAAGGTGCTTTATAAATAGTACCTATTCATACAGCTGTGTGTGTTATCTATATGTGGAGAGGACTCTTAGGCAGGTATGGATTCTAGATGGTGTACTCAAAATTTCTCTTGAAAATCTCAAAGCAAACGTGGTTTTATATATATCTTTATCTGGTACAGCAAAGTTTAAGAATTACTGAACTTAACCAGAGGAAGAAACAAAAGGAAAAAAAATGCAGAAGCTTGGACACTCCTGCTTATTTGGAGAATTTATCCCATACTTTTTTACCTTTAGCTATAATAAATTTATAATATGGAAAATTTGTTTGAAATTATGATGACTAAAGTGACACTGTAGGAGACCCTAGACCATAAATTGGGGAGGGGGTTAGCATAAGCAAATAATGAAAAGATCAGAAAAAGCATAAACATTTCCTTATTGGGTTATTTAATCTTGTATTTTCAATATGAAAGTAAAATATTTTATTCTGAATTATAAGAAAAGCTCTTTTTTACTGAAAATATTGAAATGAAACTACTTCATGAAAAAAAAAGGTTAAGAATTTACTCTGAAAAGCTACTGAGTAGAGCACTTCTATTCCTTGAAAGAACTGGCTACTATGATATCAACATAATGCCAATTTTTCAGTAGGCCACAGTGTAGGAGGTATCTTCACAGTCACAGTAAGTTTTAATCATCATTTACAATGAAACATTCTCACAGTCTGTTGTGAAATTTCAGTGCTCACCTTTAAAGTATTTCACAGTTTTTACTCTTAATTCTAAAGTAGCATCTTCGTCACACACAAAAATAGTTCGGGGATGCTGCTGAAAGGCTGAAACAGTCCACATGTGATTGACTCCTTCTTCTATTGCTTTGTACAGAGCAAATGCCTTGTGTGCTCCTGTAATGAGGATCATTACCTGAAATATCATGAACACAATTTGTTAATAGTTGAACCATTTTTGAAGTAAGCACTTTAGAAACAAGGACTTTAGAATCACAATATTGTTTTGAGGGCAAAATAAAAATAATTATCACTGTGTTTCTTCAGCTTGATATTTATTTTTTTAAGCTATCAAGCACAATTGTATCCCTTTTTATGGTTAACAAAGTAAAATGGGGGTATTGCTGAATATACCATAATGCCACAGACTATTAAATGCATTTAAATCCTGGAATAGTTTTACCATATGGTTTTCCTTATAATTATGTTGGGAATAAATGCTGTTGAGGTTAATATATTATTTTGTTGGAAAACTTGACCAAAAAAATTTATCTGAACAGTTATTTATAAGAATTAGTCTTGTTATAACAAATCTTGTAAATCTATTTTTATAATTTTGTTTAATATTTTAGAAATATATTTTTATAACTTTATGTATAAATCTATTTTTATAACTGTTTAATATTTTAGAAATCTATTTTTATAACTTCATAAATCTATTTTTATAACTTTAACATTTTAGAAATAAGATTGCTCTAAAAAATTTTTTTTTTGCCTTATTTACTCTGAAATTAGTCTTTGAAATGTATTTTTTATATACGAGGTTTGTAGATTAAAACTTTCTACATATTGAATGACAGTTCTTTTCTATGACCAGGTCTACAAATGTCAAGATCTATTATTTACCCTACTTTCCTTGTAGGAAAGTTTCCTCTGAACTTGTCTGATTCTGCTGCCAGAAAGGAGTAGAATTCCACAGGTGTCCATATAATTTTATCAGTTAGTATTACATGCTGACTACATTCTGATTTGTTATTTTCATGAAAAGAAATGACAGCCTAATTCAAAATTCAGCGATTAGGAAAGATCTGCTGGTCGGAACTCTTGCCTTGTTAAGCAGACAAAATTTATAACATATATAAGTCCTTAATTGCTCCATTTCTTGTGGAAACCAACTGAGCTATCCTTTTGTAGTTAAGAAGTACATTAAATTATCCTGAGGCTCCTAAAGTAGTTCAGTGTTAAGTGGTGATTGTATCTTGTACCAACAGACTTTAACAAGACTTATTTCACCTAAAACCAGAATATTTGAGTATTATGATTTTAGTAAGCAGGAATAGGCATGTGAAACTGTAATTCAAAATGTGTCTTATTCTTAGTTCACAGATCAAAAAGATTTGATTTAATTGAGCCGTTACCACACCATGAGACTGACAAAAAGCAAGCTATATTGTGAGTACAATGCTACCAAATATCACTTATTCACGGTCATTAAATCTTCCAAAATTTACAGATATTTAAGGAAAAACCTTGGAGTATGTCATTCTTACTTCTCTGGCATCCATCACTGTCCCCACACCAACTGTTAGAGCCATAGTTGGCACTTTCGATAAGTCACCGTCAAAATATTTAGCATTTGCCAAAATGGTGTCCATTGCCAGAGTCTTTAATCTTGTCCTGGATACTAAACTGGATCCTGGCTCATTGAAAGCAATATGACCATCTGGACCAATTCCTTTCAAAAGAAATATACACACATACACATAAACATAAAATTAATAAGGTTTCTCACATAAATCAGTAAGGTTTCTCAAAATTGAACATAAGGAATGAAGGTCATAAAAACACTTACCTTGTTTTATTTGTTCCTGTACTTGTTTCAACAAGTATTTCAATGTTACCTATGTTTAGATTGAGCTAAGTAAATGATTCTAACAGCAGTGAAATTTTGCCCTATATAAGTAGTTTGATAAGCATCATGTCAACAATGATCTATAAATATCATTATAAGACAAACCAGACATATCTGTTTTCCTCATCAACACTACTTTTTTTTTTTTTTTAAAGTTTAAAAGGAAACTTAATACTCAATGACAGTGTGACTTGCTTAAGGTAATTTAATAAATATTGATCAAGATTTCTAAATCTCCTGATTCCTAATTCATATACTTTAACATGCTTGATTCTAGTCTAGATAGGTCAAGTAACTAAAGGCTCTACCTTTTATAAGTTTTCTCACTTAAAAAATATCTATATTAGAAAAAAATTGGGGAGAATTTTCTTCAAGCTTTTTAAAAATTACAACCTGTAATAAGTAGATTTGACAATGCAATCTAGTATATATGCCTACAAGTAAATATAATTAAAGAACTATAGGTAGCAATATTTATTTATCATTACTAGGAACCATGAAAGTTACTTTCAATTATATTCTATTTTACAAACAACATACAAAAGGAAATGCTATATATGACAGAACATAATGATTTCATGACTTCATGGGTGACAACAATTTGAAAACAGTGCTTTAAGAAGACCTACTGCCATCTCTATTAATCTAGGATTGCCTGTAAAATACAGATAAAAATATGACATTCCTTAATGAAGGAAAGTGGAGCTATATCTTTTTTATAAAATGAAAAATCTGTGACATAAATAATATTTTATAGACATATACTCTCCTAGATAATCAGATTCTGCCAAGTACAGCTAAAATAATAAACCTTAAATTATTTGTTACATTTATATTCTCCATGTTTAATGATAAAATGTGTATATTTTACTTAATAGGCAATTCTAACAAATTTTTCCAGGCTACAAGGTAAAATATGGAAAGAGATTCACAGGAAACAGTATAAACTACTAAAGCATAACAATCTAGATAGACATTTTTAATGTGGGGACATAAAGTGAGACCTACATATGGTTTAAACATCAGGAGTATTTCCATTATTAAGTATGAATCTGCCTTTAAGTGTATATTTTAAAGATATGCATCTTTCCCAAGATTACATCTGTCCAAATATCTATTTTTATCTATCTATATGTATGTATAAGGAAAAACAGATGGAACCAGGAAAATACCAAGTTCCAGGATAAAAATAAATAAATAAATAAAAAGAATTAACACTGGTCATATCACTAGTGCTTTCACTGGTGATTTCTTTTACAAAATGTACAAGAAAGCTGAAATTATCAACAATGATTCATGTTGCAGAAGAACCAATATATTTCCTAACTGACCATAAGTTAACTATCAAAAATTGAGCTAACCATTTCTTAAATGTTCTGAATGTTTCAAAAAAAATCTTAAAATAATCAGGAAATGGAAAATTAATGGACATTTTTTATTCAGCCTTTAATCCAAAGAAATAAATCAGCACTTTTATGACTGACTTCTAAAAAAAATCAGTTTGTATTCTATCTTTCCTGTGTTCCCAAAATTCTGTGGGGTAGAATATGAACTTGATGAGAGTAAGGATTTTGTATTCTTAATGAATTCTGTTCTTATCATTTAAATGACACATAAGAGACCTCAATAAACAATGACTTAGTAAATAAATGACTGCTGTTCTTTGGTATGCTCAGTGTAGATTCTTCTTTCCTGCTCTGTTCCCTCCACAACATAGGAGAAAACATTCATAAAACTGTATCAATCTTAGGCAGAGTAATGGTGGTCTAGGTTACAGAATTTCTGTAAGTTCTTTTTTTTTATTTCTGGCTAGTAAGTTGATGGAGGTTGTCCCAAAAGATGTAACTTTTTTTTTTTTTTAATTTATGTACTTTTCACATACCAGGGTTACCAAAGGAAGACGATGTGGGCTGAGGTATTTATTAATAGCTTGCAGGAGAGTTGATGCGTTCCTGTTTGGAGATGTGAGGTTTCCGTATGTTCTTATGCTACCATACTTGGTTGCTTTAGGACTTCTGTAAATTCTGTGAGTTTTCCCAGAATCATACCAGTCAATTCATTTCTAATAGTACTATTAGATTATGGTTACTTACAAATCAAAGACTGTAATCATGCTAACAAAGGAGAAGTTAAAGCTTTCACCATTGTCTTATTTTTGCTTTTAAAAAACAAATTGTCTTAAAGTCATTTTAAAGTGAATGTCTTTACAGCTCAATTATAAAATCCATGTTTGTGTATTTTATTGCTAGAGGTGAGTCAGGGATTGAATGATACATTTTATTCTTTCAACACTTTTGCTAGTCAAGGAAAAATGAGAACTTTTAAGAATATATATTTCTTATTTTATCTTTTCTACTGATAATGAGGAAACTCCTGCTACATTTGCCAGAAGTGAACAATGGTGGATTAATATTTTTGAGGTCTTTACATCCTACTGTTTTCAGTTTAGTGAGGATGAACAGAAAATTCCATTCTGGCCTCAAACCCAACCTGCAATCTCTAATTCAACTTTACCTTTAATAAAGCTGTTATTTTGATCCCATTTGGTTCAGTTCTTAGTGTTTTTATTAACCAAACCCTGGAACAAAAGAAGGTAAGTAGTAAGACCCAGACACCAAGCCTTATCTTGAATATCCAATGATAATAAACCTAGAGCAACAAAGCACAGTCAAGTAAGATTCTCTTGTGAGAACACATCCAATATTAGGGTATCTCAAATAGGAAAAAAGTTCAAAGAAAATGCAGTAAGGTGATCCTTTTCTCCCTATAGAAAGGGTTGTTACGTCCTTTGGATGACAAATATGTTGGACCCCGCATCATCATGTTTGAGTACTGTGAAGATATTAATGTAAGAGGCAAGAAAATACTGTGTGTGTGTGTGTGTGTGTGTGTTAGGATAGACAGTCACAGGAAGGATAGAATAATTACAAGACACTTAAGACAAAATTGGTTAAAATCAAAGTAAATTTCTTTTGATAGTGTGTAATAAACAGTTAATTTATGTTCCATTTGTTTCAAGGTAGAACTGAGTAGCTTATAATAAAAAATGTATCAAAAAATTTTCTGCTAAGAATGTAAAAATGATTTAAAACTGTATGAAAAGAAGAAAGTTCTACTAGGATTCCTGGATAAGGAAGTTAGAGTTTAAAAGTTACCCTAAACTATAAATGCTTTTTGGAAAATAGGTAAAAGGGCAAAGTGGAGTTAAAGAGCTCTAATCAGTCCCTCCCCACCACCATCAATTCTCTTTTCTGTATTGAATCCCCAAGGTATTTATGACATGGCTCCTTATATAAGATAAATAGGTAGGAAAAAAAGTTGAAAAAGGTATTATTATGGAACCATTTTTAATTATAAGCCTCTTATACCTATAATAATTCATTTGTGTAATGGTAAAGGAGTGAAAATATTTTTTAAAATAAAACTAAGATAAACAATTTAGGTATATAATTATGTATTACAGTAATTCTGCTTGATTTTGAAAATCTGAAAAATACATGGGTAGTTCACACTTTAAGAGATCTCATATTACCTTAGCCTTGATATCAGTAGGTATAAATGGTAATTATCTTAGAACTGAGTCAGACAAAACTGGAATTCAAGTGTTTTCCAGAAATACAAAAGGAGTATTTGTAAATTGTATGTAATTATAGAACAGTTTATTTTGAAAAGTAAAGTGTCTAACTTGTATTCTTTTCAAGTTAAACACATCTTCAAGGTAAAGATATTGGTAAAGATCTCTTCTAGGTAAGAGAAAATTTCCTCAAAGAGATACCTGTCTATCTTGCTGGATACATTCAGAGGTAATTCAGTAAAAACCACAGAACTACAAGGAATTAAACAATTATTTCAGGATCCATTTTTCAGAGATAAAGAGAAGACTAAGATAACGATAACAGAGAACCATCTATATGGCAACCACTTAACAAGGCATTTATAAAAGCTATAATGCAGTTAATAATCAAAGTTTTGGAAAGGGCAATATATAAACTGTTTTACAGATGACTTAATTGTACTGAACTTTCCAAGTTCATAGAGGAATTGGCCAAAATAGAATATAAATTAATGTCTGAATATAAAGCACAATTTTTCCCAATGGCAACTAACCAATCTAACCATACTTGGTCATCTCAAACATAAATTAGTCTCAGTACAGCCCTACTGAAGATCTTAATATGTAAGTCTGAGCAGTCCCTAATTATATTATTAAGTTCTCTCTAGGAGAACATAATGTGAACTTACAGGTTTGGTATGTTTTGTTGAATAGTAAAGAATCTGGCAAAAAACAATTTTGATTTCAATTTAGTTGGCGTTAATTCTATTCTGATAGTATGAATTAGTTGTCTCAGATGTTTCCTACTAATAAAACTGTTGTTTATATTATAAACTCACCCATATATATATTCAATGATACACAGAGTCATGGATAGACATAATTATACATGGATATATATATAAACTTAATGTGGAATTTAACAAACATTTGTTCACTCTGGCATTTAAGACAATTATACAGCTTAAAATTCATTTTAGTAAAAGGTTAATGGCATCATATATCATTCTCAGTGTATTTCTTAGTTAGATGAAGCAATTTAAGTTATCAGTAGAGAGAGATTAAAATCTGCTCACATGTAAACCTGTAGAAATTTAAGCCTGTAATTTGAAAAGAAAGCTGTGCTGGAGTAGTGAAATAGTAAAAGGAAAAGAATAACACTTAGAAAAATACACATATGTCACTGTTTCTGTAATACATGGAAAGTTGTCTAATTCTACAGTATTAGAAAAATTTAGCAGGGATTTGGGTTTATTTGTCATGACATAATTTGTAAAGTCCAATCTGTAATCTTATTTTATGAAATAAAGTCAAACAGAAATTATTAATTGCTTAAATGGGTATTATGAACAGCAGGTGTTCTTTATATTGTAAAATGTTAAAAATTTTAAATTTGTAACTCTTTAATTCAGGTATTAACAAACACACAAGTATGACATACCTCCAACAAAAAGATCAATTCCTCCAGCTTCTTTTATTTTTTTTTCAAATTCATCACATTCTGCTTGTAAATCTGTAGCATTTCCATCAAGGATATGAGCATTATTAGGATCTATATCAATATGCTTAAAAAAGTTATTCCACATGTAAGAATGGTAGCTTTCAGGATGGTTTCTGGGAAGTCCTAAATACAATGTTAATAATAATGTAATTATTTTCAGGAATAAATTTGAATCTTACTTTTCTGATTAACTCACAAATGCTATTTAACATATACAACTTTGTAATACCATATTCAAAGATTTTTTATGTGGAATATATGCTTACATGCTCACACATTTTAACCACTGTACATGTACATGTACATGTGTGTATTAAGACAGTTTGCACACCATCTATGGTAATGCTATCATCATTCCCTTTTATGGATGTACAGAAGCACAGAAAAGTTAAAATAATTTTCCTAAAGTCAGATAGCTCCCAAGGGTCTGGAATTCAAGCACAGAAGCATAGTTCATATGTATATAAGCACTACATCCCACATCTGACTACCACAAAATTTTAGGCAGTGTAACTGAAACGGTAAGCTCAACATAAGCAGCCATTCAACTAAAATGTTGGTTCATGTATGTCCTCTATTCTTCCTATATGCATGCAAAATATAATGAATTACAACAATACGTAGGCTGCCACTAATAATGTTTTCCTCTATTTAAATTTTAACACAATTCATATGTATCATAATACTTTTAGAATAAAGAAAACTGCCAATTATTAAGTCATAAAATCTTCACAGCTACAAATATAAATAGCCTTATATATTCGATTAACTTTACCTACACATTTTTTAACTTATTGTCACAACACTGACTTTAATTTTGTAGAAAGGAAAGTGCAAAAACAAGGAATGTGAACAGACTGGCTCAGTTACTAAGCGGTAAGTGTCTGAACCCAAGATAAATACAGCTCTCCGATTTCTTCCATATTTTTCACTATATTGTGCTACCACAAAAATAAAGATTTTGTATAAATTTCCAACAGCATCACAAGGCTCTAAAAATATGATATAAAATATATTATGCGGCCCTCCCTGGTGGCGCAGAATCTGAAGCCACTTCCGCATGAGTTCGATTCCCGCCTGCCGCCTGCCCCGGAGGAGTCCACATGGCGAGCCAGATCTCTCCTGGCCCGCCCGCTGCTTCCCTCAGCAGTGTACTTCGTCATTCTACCTGTTCTGCTCCCCACTCTGTCTCTGGTGAAGCCTCTCACCGCCCCTGAGCGTCTGGCCTGTACCCCAGTTCTGTATGAATAAATAAATAAATCTTTAAAAAAAAATATATTATGCTCTAAAATATATTAATGTCATAAATTCAAATAGTATATTAGTAGTCTCAAAGTATATTCATTTATTTAAAATACATAACAAACCCACATATCCCAATACACTCAACTGATATGGCTTACCTACATACTCATCCATGTTGAAGGTCTTTACATATTTAAAAGAAAGGTCTCCATTCTTGTGATATTCTATTAGTTTTTTATAACATCCTAAAGGTGTACTCCCTAAAACGACAGATTCCATTTTGTAATGTAACTTGAAAATCTATTTTTAAAGAAAATCATTAAACTTTATTTTCTTAATGACATTCAATATTTCTAATTTATTAAATGATTATTAATTTAAATATATATTCAATTAACGAATATATGTGCTGAATTAGTCTCTTTTTAAGGTACTTTGACACTTTAGTATATTGGAATTTAGTGCATAAAGCTGGAAATCTACCGATAAAAATCAGTTTGTAAATTATTCCCGAGTTATTGGGTATCTGTATTTAATATACATTTCAAGATTAGAAACTTTTAGATTCTGAGAAAAATCCAAGTACAGATTTGTAGCAGAAATGATAAAAAACAGGGTTAAGTATTGACCATTTAGTTAATCAAAAGAGAAACCAAAGCTTCACTTGTTTTTAACTTGCTGTTTCTTTATGTTATATTCATCAAAAGCCAGATAAAATGTATAAATGACTGAGGAAGTGGGATATTGGCTTTGGATACTTCAGTTAGGCAAATGGTGGGCCTAAGGATGAGAGGTAGTTCAGACCCACAGCATGTAGGTCTATAAATGTCAAGTTTGTTGAGGTTATCTCAGTAACTATAAACTAAGCAGATAATATGCCAGAAGTTGTTCTGACATTACAGAATTACAAGAGAACTAAATACAATAAAATCTGTAATTAATACTTATGTTTATTCTGTTAAGAAGGCATTAATTTTCAAAATTTTCACTTTAACATTTGTTCACTTAAATATTAGAACAAAATAAACACAAAAATATGAAATGACTAATATGACATCATAAGGTAGATGAGATAAAATTAAGATACAACAACAATATATATTTGGGTATCTCTTCATGATTAACAGAAGGCTAAAATACTAAGAAATTATGTGAATAATGAAACTAACACCCCTACAAATAATACCAAACAAAAAATACCAAACAAAAGATTACCAGAAGGTACAAAACATACTATGACTATCTCTCAAATCAGGATATCTTCTTTTGTATTTTAGTACAGTAGGACAAATAGAAAACAGTAATTAGTGAAAGGTACATACCAGATCTACATATATAAACTAACTTTTATCAGTGATACAGCAACAAATAACAGGAAAACTATTTTACTAAAAGAAACCCTTCAATTCCATAAACTTGAGGATTGAAATGAAAAAATAGTGTGTTACCTGTTGGTAAACCCAGTGTAAAATATCTGTCCTGTCCAGGTTTGAACTGAATGATGCGATTACAGATGTACTTCGCTGCCCATTCACTAGCCAGGTCATAGTTATCAAGAATGACAAGCCTCATGGTGATGCACAGCTTCCAGAACAAAAAGCTCAAACTTGGGGGAAAAAATCCATTTTAGAGTACTTTAAGTATTTTACAAATAGAAGTGCAATACAGTCATGACTTTTAAAAAAATAAACTAACTTAATAAAGCATATATACAAATACAATCTGGACTTTTAAAATAGCTTTTATATACTTTTAATAACAGCTTTTCTCTTTTCAGTAGACTCTGGGCCCAAGTGTAAGGTAGCTCACTGAAGTGTATATATTAATATTTGTGACAATCTTCTGAATTAAATATAATACACAGATTTACATAAGTGGAGGGATTCACAATAACAGTGAGGTCATACTCCACTGACAATCACTAAGTGACAAAGTCAGAAGTCATATCAAGGTAAACTATCTATAAAGACTCAGCACTGCAATGTCTACAGGGACTATACAAAGGAACATAAAACTTACGGAGAAGATGACGTGTTCAATTACTGAGCAGTAATGATTACTTAGCAATTTTTGAGTTATATACTAAAATTTAGAAATTTCCCTATAAATAATTTAAAAACCAAACCTCCATTTTGCTAAATAATATTCTTATATAAAATGCTATATGTACTTTAAAAAAAATAATCAATATAGTAGGGTATAGGAAGTGAAAAAAATCGACCCAAATCCTACCACTCAAATAAATTTCATTATTCTTAGGTATATAACATTCCAGATATCTACCTAATGTAAACATATACATAAAAGGCATACAAATAATTTAGCATTGGTGTCATACTACATAAACACAGCATTAATTATTCTTGATTCAACAGAAGAAAACAAAGTGAACTAAGAAACTACTGACCTGAGGAAAAAAATCCCTACAATAGCAATTTTAGTTCCTGAAAGACTAAGAAAAAAATATTATGCAAATATTAAAAAATTATTCATTTAAAAACGACTTTATTTTGGAAATATGGATCTACTTACTACCATGAAAGATGTGAAAATTACATTCTTACATTCATGCCCCCTAATTTCTTTAAGATATATTTTTTTATATTGTCACAATTAGTAACATGCATTGTTATAGAACCACAATTTTCACATTTTACTTCTTACAGTGTTAACTTTAATTTATATTTAAATCTTTGTTTTATATTTAAATGGATCCATCACCCACATCAATCCACTTTACAATTACTTTAACAGTTCTGAATTCTGTACCCATAGACTTTATACACAATACTAAGTCAAGTCCTTTAAATTAATGTAAATAGTACATCTTATTACAACAAATATATAGAATTTAAATGCCACCTTTAAGATCAAAGTGATTTAGTATTCTGGCAAAACAACAACGAAAATCCCATAATCAACGTGATCTAGACTCCTGGTGTAGGAACAGGAGGTAAAATAGCATTTGTGGGTAATAATTTACATGGTAAGTCATGAACTTGGTACAACAAATGGAGTTCCATATAAACTCATTAATAATCTCGTACTAGAAATAATTTAAAAGTTACATCAAAGAAACAAGTCTTTGCTGGCTGTTATAACTATCAAAAATATAGTTCTAATAAGAATAGTTAAGTAACCATTATTAAAAGGAAAAAATAAACTATGTCAAAGAGGAAGAATGACATTAGAGCTAAGTATGTACTGTGCCTGACTTTGTATCTTTTCTCAGTTCAACTGAGAAATATTCATGAGGTCTTATTAAAAGCCAATCATTAAAGCTAGGTTCTGTAGAACCAACAATGATTAAGCACATATGTACTAGAGTGTTCAGAATCACTCAATAGTCTCTGAGATAGAAATGACCACTTTTCTGATCTACAACTCAGTTTATTAATAACGTTACGAAGTTAATTAAGTGGTAGATAAGCTGCCTGACTGAAAAATTCTTGCTCCAAAGCTGTCTTCATCAGCGGAATCTCTCAGGAAGCTTGTTAAAGATTCCTAAGTTCATTTCACTGTACATAATATTTCAACTGAAATGGCGAAATCATATCAAAGAATATACACTTTTGCAAGTATCACAGACAATTCTGAAAAATCAGGTTAAATTTTGGAAAAGAACACCATATACAGAGACTGATTGATATCAAAGAAGTAAACTCAAGTATCTTAGACCAGGTAATACAAGCAAGTTTTTTGAAATTCTGTGGAGTGCTTCGAGCTTATTCAGATGAAATCAACAAACCCAGAGGAAAGTAGAATGTTTGGGGCACATTTCCTCAAAATAGAAAATGTCTTTTTTTTTTTTTTTTAACCAGCTTTTGCTAGTCCTCGAGATCCAAACTTCTAGGGGCCCTGGATAATTAATTTTCTGGCATCAAGACTGTACAGTACTCAAAAAAGGACACAGCACCACTTCCCTCTTCTTCCTCTGATGCTGATTCATTTTGGATGTGTATTTCTTGAAGAAGGGGCTGCCAGGCAAAATCTCAGAACTTCAGAGCAGGATGGGAACTTATACATGACTTAGGTTACAAACTCATCTAAAATTTGGAGTGCAGACCTTTAGAATCTCCGCTCTGAGCTTTCTTCTATACCACACTACATTAGTCCTGAAAAGGTCTCCGAAGCTCAGGTCAGAAAGGGGCGAGCTGAGAACGAGTGCTGCATCCCCAAAAGGGGCGAGGAGCACCTAAGACTGTTGTGGTCTTGCTAGCGAGAGAGGGTTGCAGATCCACCTCAACTGCGTGACTATTGGGTACCGTCACTCCGCAAAAGATAATTTTTATCATGTGTCAGCAGTAAACCTTCAGAGAGGAGGGGACAGGGAAGCCCCCTGCTGGAGACCGGATTCTTAGATGACAGCAGGCTAGGTTTCATAAAGGGAAGGCAAGGTGAGAGACGCCATTCACCTTCTCCCTTTAAGGATCCCGGGACCCCAAAAAGCAGAGGGCCCCGTGCACTCGTCTCGGCATAAAGCCCACCCGAGGATGCAATGATAGGCGGGTCATCCCCACTCACTTGACCTTTTCGGCTCACCTACACCAGACTCACCAGCCGACTCACCTGCTTTTCCAATACTGAAGCAGACGGAACAACCAACACCCAGCAACCTCGGTGCGACCCCGGCCGGTGCGCTAAGCGCGAAGCCAAAGGACCCGGATGCAACTCAGGCGTAAAGAGGAGTACGGCGCTGCCAGCAGGCGCTACGCATGCGCGTTCCTCGGGCTCTAGGATGAGTTACGTAGAAGCCGACGTTAGTGATCCTGAGGCTTAACGTTAAATCTTCGGCAAGTCTTCAGTTCAGTTCTCCGACCATCACCCTTGCCTGCTACTTTTTTTCATCTGGAAGATTGAATTGCGGTAGATTTTTTTTTTTTTTTTTGACTAATGAGGTTTAGCTTGTAGGACTGCGGGTGCACTTAGAGCGTTACTTTAGGTGTCCTTTGTTATGAATATAGAAATTCTCTCTCCATCCCCTTTGAATGCGCTTTACACTTGTAATGATCCCTAATCTCTCTCTCTCTCTCTCTCTCTCTCTCTCTCTCTCTCTCTCGATATCTATACACACATATATACGTATGTACACAGACACACACATCAAGTTAACTTTGTTACGTGCTGCAGAAACAAATGATAATGCAAGGGAAATCTTAAGAGTAAGAAGGAAATTTTAATGACATGCATGTGTAAACTTGGGTTTAAACGGACTCGAAGGAAAAGAATCAGTTTTGAACTGGGTGTTACGGGGTTTTGGTCTGGGAAGGGGAGGGAAGAAATACGACTGGAGAAGTTACTGTTAAGAAGCACTTAAAAATGGGATTGTGCCCTCGCCATGTTGCTTAGAAACACTGTTTAGAGTATATAGTGGACTGCCAGCATGGGAATCAAAGTCCCTTACCTTGGAAATTACAAAATAAAATATGAATTGCTTACTCCTTATTCCTTGGAAATACAAGCTAAAATATGAAATGCTTATTCCTTTCCTTGGAAATGACAACATAAAATATAAAATACTCCTTATCTGAAGTGCTGTGATAAGTTGTAAATCCAGCCTGCTTCTTTGGATCAGGTGACATCTCCCTCCCCATTATGTTCTTTAAAAGGCAAGAGTTTAATGTTCCATTCTCAATTCTAAGACTTTTGAAAGTGAAGTCTCACATAAACTGATAACAGAAGACAAGTTTTGCTTAGCACTATGGCCTTATGTTAATTTATAAGAGCAGTTTTTAACAACTTCTGAGTACTTAATTTATCACCTAACTCATCTATTGTAGTTCTACTGTGGTCAGTCAATAATAAAAAGAGAAATTTGTGGAGAATATATTGGCGAATGGAAGGCTGTTTGTCTGTTTTCTGACGCTAAACACATTTTTGCACATGCTGTGAGCACTATGGTTAATTTTGCTTTGTTTACACTATTTCATGACTTACCTTACATTTCTCTTAAGTTGGTATTTCCCACCTCTTTAACCTATATGCCACACTCTTTGTACCAACATTATAGGAAGAAGTTGCCATCAAAAGCAAAATATTTGATATTAAAAGAAAATTGTTTGTGACGAGGTCATGAATAGTCAATAAATATTTACCTGACCGTAATGAATGAGGCACCACCATGAGTTACACACACTATTCTTACCTTTAGTAAAGTACAAGTTTTATGGGGAACACTCAAATCATCCTAGTACTATTAAGTAGTCTCAGGCATGAGTCACCAAGATACTCCTTTATGTTTGGGGATAACCTGAGCATAGAAAGGAACTTCATCTTGCCCTTCATATAAATCCTCAAGAAATGACAAAATTAACAGCAAGTTTTCCTGAATCAAGATTTTGAATGAAGAGCTTTGTAGAAACATTTGTGTTTCAGTCAGCATGTATCATGCACATATATGAAGGCCAGTGGATAAAAATGTTTTAGCAACAGATGCCAATGGGGATATATGCTGAAGGCCAAAGACAGATAGGAAGAGATACTTATCTTTTGCACTCATATGTCAGAGAAAAGAAATTAACTCCAGATCAGATGCCTCTTCTGTTGTGGACACAATAGTGACCTCTCCACCTTAAATGCCACTCTGAATCAAAGGTGGGGCCAAGAATAATACCCAGAAATAACTGAATTATTGACTAAGAAAACACTAAAACATACACATGAAAAAGACTTGATTTAAGTTCCTTGATTTAAGACTTGATTTAAGGGGGAAATTTAAGTGTAAGTTATAGTAAAGATGTTTATTATATATTACATTGTAGGAAAATAATAAATAGTACATTAGTATTTATGGCTTCTGAAATTCCCATATAGCAGTGTATATATGTTAAACAAAAATCATCCTGTGTGCCTGTAAAGAATAAATTGAAACTGGATCAAGGATAGATATGGGTAAACGACTTTTTGAAGAACAGAATATTGTGGAACTCCCTCTATGTCCAGGAAATAGCTTGCACAAAGGTATACAGGCAAGAAAGTAAAAGGCATATACATGGGATTTTGAATAATGACTCCTGTGTAGCTAAGACTAATATATACTGGTTTTTTTTTTCCCCCACTGTTTATTAGTTTCTGTTAGCTATAACTTAGTAAGTTGATTTAGGGGCCTGGTTACATAATTTTATATATGGATAATTTTTGTGCATTCCCAAACCTCAGAAATAATCTATGAAATCATACCAAACAGGAATGTCTTATTTTCAGCTAGCAGGGGAAACCTGTGTTAAAATCTCACAAAAATTGGAAAGAGAGGTTAAGGTGAAATGAAGTACCTTATAGGTTATGCATAGAGGTTACACTTTACATTGTTGACAATAGGGAACCAATGACATTTTATGAAAGCAATAAAAGACTAGTAGAATGTGTTTTAGAAAGGAATTAGAATGAGTGGGGATTGTATTATGGAAAGAAAATACAGATATAGACTTGAGGCTTATATTATAATATCTCAGCCCCAGCCCTAGTATCAGTTATTACACTTATGATTTAATTTGCTTTGTTTTGTAATTAAGAATGGATGTAAGAGTTTCTGAATACTTACTCTGCATCTGTTGAAATGATGGTATGATTTTCCATTTTAGCCCACTGGTTAATTGCAGTGAATTTTAAACATTAAAACACCTTCCATTGCTAAGGTAAAATTATGTGGTCATAGTTTTCCTTGGACACAGTTGTCTTTCATCCAGAAACAACTAAACATTTGTAAAATATTTGATGAAATGTACTTTTCTCTGGAAGTGATTTTATTGACCACTAGGTGGGAGTTCTGAGTTGGATAAAATAAAGACAAGCATTTTAGCTTTAACTAAAGTAAATCCTAAATAATCTCTAGAGATAGTGTAGGTCTTGTCCACTACTGTATCCTTATTTAAAATGAGAGCTGCTATTCTATATTTATATACAAGAGGGCATGATTGAGGCTGATAGCATTTGCATTTTCCTAAGCACAGAGTTTTGGTTTTTACACCTCTTTATGGTAGGCGGTCACTCTAGCTGAAGTATAGGCTAGTAGTAGCAATCAGTAAAGACTATTTAAAAGCTATTAAATTGAAATTTATTATAATATAAAGCTTCCTACTCAGCTTCATGTATAATATTTAAAATATTTATCAGAAAGAAGATATTTATCAAATAAAATAAAAATAAAAGAGGATATAAAATTTTAGGACTTTTTCCCCTTTAATAGTAGCTGTCACATGAACTGGGACTCTCAGGTCTCACTCACAGAAACTGTTTTAATTTGTATAGCACATTCCTTAACAATTAACACCTTCTTCTACCCACCCCCAATTTTGTGAGGAGCGAAAGAAACAACTTAGTGTAAGAAAATTAGCCTTGATAAAATGTATTATTCATAGTAGAAGTAATGATAAGGGATAGAATTGGAGAAGTGGTCCCCAATATTTTATGTTTGGAGAGAAAGCTTTACTTAAACTTCTGAGGAGGAGGCTTTAATATCAGTGGATATTAAAGGTTTCTGAGAAAAGTCTTCTACTGAGAAACGAAAGATAGGTCTGTGCAATGGGCTTTTCCTTTGCATGTCCTTCCTAGTATAAGCATTGCTATTTGAAGATGTGAAGCTCAATGCTGCCACATGAGATCATCTGAAGAGAACATACATGTAGAAGTCAAACAATTCTTATAGTAATGTAGCAGCTATGCCTTTCTCCATTCTTGTATTAGAAAATTGGCCCAACTTACTCTCTTATGTGCAGTTAAAATTCTAATTGAACGTTGATTTTAATCCCTATCTGTTGAACTGGTGTCCTTTCAACTCCCTTTGTTAATACTTTTGTTTAGACCGTTATCATTTCTTACATGGATTATTGCAACAATAGCCTGACTATAAGTTTATCTGCTTCTACTTTGCTTCTTCTACCATCCAACTTTTTTTTTTCTGATATGAGATGGACTTTAATTTCAGACTTTTCATGTTACACTATTTAGTATTTCCTCTTAAGGAGTAGTAAAGTGGTCAAATAGTTCCTAAACAGCAACTATTAATTCAGCTGTTATAGTACCTTGCTTCTCATGTTTCCATAAATTTGTTCCAGTAAGGAAACAATGAGCTAATATGGAATTAGTCTATTTATCACTCATGGGACATCAGGCAGCATATGCTTCCCGACTGCAGTATTTCCCTTCTCTGTCTCTTTAACTTAGTAAATAAGTTTTATAAGAGAGTTGCAAAATGCAAACCAATCTGTCTTATCATTGCTTCTAAGAGAGATAATACCTTTATCATTTTATAGGGAACAAATATGCCCTTCAGCCTGAATGGAGACATTCTCTCTAGTTTTCAAGGATGTTTGCACATCTGAAAATGTAATCTGAGATGTGTGGAAATGCAATGGAGAATTTCTCCCAATAGTAAGGAGGTAGGTTTGGGAATAAAATAGAGCCAGAATTAAATTTATATGTTAATGGCTTCCAAATCTATTTTTCCAGTCCAGACTCTCAACTGCAGTCTGATATATCCAGCTTCTTACCTGACAAGTACACTTGAATATTTAATGAGAATGTCAAGCCTACCGTACCCAAAGCTAAATTCCCAGTATGCCCCCTGCAAAGACTAATGGCAGTTTCTTTTTGGTTACTCAGGCTTCTGACCTCACTGTTATTTTCCCACTTTTCTCATTCTTATATCCCATATTCAGTCCATC